TAGGAACATTCTGTAGCATTTTGAAACTTCTTTTAGGTAGGGTTAGCTTAGAATTGGTAGCGGAGTTACTGTAGGGTTTGTAGGAATAAAACTGCAAATACCGTATAGCTTCCCCAGCTTACTTTTAGATACTGTAATCCTTCATACTGTAATGCTTTTGGCCTTTTGTATCCTTTTTTCATAGTCTTCTATTCTTGCAAATATTGAGCAATAGGTTACTGTAAATAGAGGTTACTCTGCTTACATACCACAAAGGGTCCCTTGATCAAAAGTTCTCGGAATCTACACTCTTCTGATACTAGTGCGAGTAGAGGTTACGGTAATTTCTTCTAGTTTTAAAATTAGGCTTCATCACTGCGAGTAATTGGCTCTTGAGTTTACATTAAAGTTCTGGCATTTTCGAAAAACCGGCTGTCACTAACTGCAAAAAGACCGTTTATGTTATAACATACGGTAGCTTGATCCCCTGAGGCTTGTAGCATTCATTCTTATGGTTTGACCTTTATACTTTAGTTGCACTTCAGTATCTGTAAATAGACGATTATGTTGAGGACATACGTCTGTAGATATATTGAAGTAGACAACTTGGTATAGGTTGATTGTTTTGTGACATTTTGTCTCGCCTGCCATTTGAAACATTCAGAAATAGCCCTACTGTAGTTTTGACCTTATTGTAGTTTTGACCTTACTGTAGTTTCTGAGCATCTACAAGAAAAGGTTATGTTTACAACATACGACTGTAGACATTGAGAAGAACCCTCAGGAGTCTTTTGGTCGTTGTTGGCTACTGTATTCGGAAAGGTTGATTACTGTGCTTTGAAAGGGTACGTTATGTCTTACTGTAACAATTTTTGACTTTTTTCTTCTTAACATATCATTCATGTATTCGCTTCGTATTAACCCAGTTTTCATACTGTAAATAGCTATTAGCGTTTTTAACATACTTCTATACACTTTTTAACCACTCTCTTCTTTTTCTTAATAGATTACGGTAGGAGAAGTTGAAAAGTTTCTTCAGATATTACTGTAGGTTTGAAATATAACACGACCGGGTAAGATGATATGTTTGAGTTGGTAAGAATTGTATGGCATAGTAGTAACTGTAAAGAGATGGTAATCGCTGTTACATACCCAGTAGCAGTTAGACATTGAGGACCTTGACTCCGTATGTTCAGAAAACGTTCAGTGGGTCTTATCTTCAAGACAAAGGTGGTATGATTGAAGCATTGGGGTTGGTATGTTCAAAGACTTTCCTAGTGACCAGAAATAGCATTGTCACATCGTATTCAACATAAGAAGCTCACAGTAATTCGATATGTTCAAGCTACAAGTAGGTATCATTTGTTATGACATACTGTATTCAGAGCGACAGTAATGCAGACGGTTTAAGGTCGGTTGGTTTGGCCAAGAAAGAGTAGAAGAGGCCATATACATCAAGTTTTGGTTGATATTATAGTAGGCGTTTGACATTACTGCAAATAGAATTACACCTCAAGACCTACTAAGGCCATGTTCTGACTTCAGACATCCCTCAATGTGGTATTAGACGTCAAAAAAGCGGTACCAGACATCATCGTTTTCAGAAATTGTAGTAGACATTACCATGGTAGTATACATTCGTATGACATGTAGATCACAAATACGTAGTAAATCGCGTAGTAAACTCGACATACTTATTTTAACTTTTGTAAGATCGCGGTATTTGAATTGTCATCGCGTTACAGACACCCTTGATATGGTAGAAATAATACGGTAGAAAATAGAAATATTACGGTAATCACGAAAATAAAAGTTTTGTCGCGGTTTGTCATATGAACATTAGTAGACGAGAAACGCTCTTTACATCCCAAAGTAATCGTTATCGTATCACGCAATCAGTGTTACAGTAGAAAGTACACGGTAGAAATAAGTGAAAGGACATTACCCCCAAAAGATACGGTAATTTCTGAAAAGTAATTAAAGGTTACCACGGTAAAAAGTAATAAATGTAAGTTTAAAAATACCAATGTAAAAGTGATTTGTACTAAAGTTATACTAAAAGACCAACTAAAAGGTTAGCATACTGTAACAAAAGATACTGTAACCAAACACACCTTATGATCAAAATTCCCTTTAAAATCGTAGTAAAATCCATTGACATCTGCATCTATCTTCTATTCTAACATCGCATTCCCCATAAACCCAACATCACCAACATAATATACCATAGTAGACTATCGTACTGGGCTTACATAACATCGTACTGTATATATTATCAAATATATGACGCGGTAGACTCTTAGATTTGTATATATATCACGGTAGACCCTTAGAATTGTATGTGACGCGGTAGACTGAGCATCGTATAACAAAACACATCTTCTCGAAATTTACCACAGTAAACAACATCGTATAACATGCACGAAAAGGCTTCGTATTCCCACAAACATGGTCGTATATGCCCAAAAAGTTTACTTCGTATGCTCAAAAAGTAAATACCCTCGGTAATCTTCTGAATCTTGGAAACGGTCGATTTCTGTTGAAAATGTTAAAATTTCATACCCTCAGGTCATATTGACATTCCCTTAGGCAAAGGTCGTATACCCAGCAGTAAAGTCGGTGTACCCACAGTAAAATGACATTTAACGGGTCACAGTAAAGTAAAACAACCCAAAAACATCCTCACTTCATACCATCTACATCTACTATCACATACTTGACATACGCGGTTAAAAAGCGAAATAATAAATGTTACCATGCACAATATCCAGTAGAACAGGAAGTGTCCGGACTGTCAATGTAGATACGATACGGAAAGACCACGGTAGAATGACAGCGATAAGAGCAGCGGACACTCCCTTGACATCGATCTTCAAGTAATACGAAAAGGGCTTACAGCTTGCTCACTTCACTAAGTGGTACAGTAGTGTGGGGGTACGGTAGTTACAAAATAAAACAAAGTACAGTAGTTATACAGCAAGTTCAAAAAAGGAACGGTAGCTTTGAGATACTGTAGTTTCAGAATAAGATACCCTTGAGATACTGTAGCATTTAAACACGGTTGTATCGAGATACGTCAGTATTATATTAAGGTACGGTAGTATTGTGTTAAGGCACCTTATGAGTGAGATACGGCAAGATTACGGTACAGTAGTTTCAATCAAAATTATTATAGTTACAGTAGTAGATAGAATAGTATTATCGCGATCGTATGACTTCAAGAATATACTACACGGGCAAGAATAATATGTTGATGACAAATATATTGTCATAATACGCGGTAGAAGTGACTCTTCTTAGCAGTGAAAAGTTACAGTAATATTACGTAACAAGTGTAGTCATATGTCATTAAAGAAGATATACCAACATCACGATAATAAAAGTTATGTAAATGATCAAGCAATAGTAGTAGAATGATCGAATACAAAGTCGTGACACATCGCGATATTATACATGTATCAATATGTACATATACCAAATATACCTCACATATCGTATAAAGGGAAGATACATCAGTCAGAGTAAGTGCCAAACAAAAGGTATCAAGTCAACCAAAGGCTTCAAATGGCAGTAAATGAATACGAGCACGGCAGAAAGAAGCACGGTAAATGGCGTGATAAACATGCGTGTTTACATCAACATTACCAGCATGACAGTAACTGTAAAGTACTATAAACAAGGTTGTTTACCCTTACCGTGTGATTAGATACGGTAGACCCCTTCGAGAAGTAATACAGTAGGACCAAGTTTTGTAGGTAGAGAGACATCGTATGTTCAGTTTAGCATAGATAGTTTGTAAGCATGCAGATATTGTCAGGTGAATAACATTGCTAATAAAAGCAGTAGAATATAGAATACTGCATACTATTTAAGATTACAGTAACATGAGGTATAACATGCTTTAAGTTGTAGCATTTAAACATCGTATATCATGAAATAACCCATAGAGAATACAGTAGATTTTAGTAATATGGCTGTTACCAAGATATACTAACTTAGAACCATGGTATCGTACAGACATTGCATCGTATGTGCTTGAGAAGAAACTGTAGAATGTCAGACATATTCTGTAGATCGTATGTTAAATTGAGACCATACGTTCACTTGAGGTATGAGTAGAACAGAGTAAGTGATATGTTCTTTCAAAGTTGAGATCGTATGTTCTTCGGAAGATACTGTACAACGAGAGACATGTCCTTCAGTAATGATATCGTATTTTTTCACGAGGTCACAGTAGACATAGAAGGTATGTAGAAGATCACAGTAGTTTTGATTACAGTAAATGACATTAGATATGGTTTCCTTTCGTTTTGATTGATATAGTAGTTTTAGTTTAATATACTAAATGTGTAATCCCAACACTTTATCATAGTAATTTACATCTTCACTTTGTCCCTCTTTTATACTTTGACATGTTCTGACTTTTACATAGCCTCAATAATGTAAATTCGCAAAGTAACCTTCTCAATATGACATTTCAATCCTCAATTATACCAACACATCGTTTCTTATTCGACAAGCTACAACTACTTTTAATCTTTATTCGACCAAACGTACCTTTAGCCCTTTACGTTACAGTAACCCTGATTGTTTCCCCCAAAATTCTCGGATTATTGAAGTAATTAGATTCCCAAAATATATCATCAATTACTGTAGTAAAAAAGTTCTCAGACATCAAAGTTAAAATTCAGTCGAAACCCAAAATCATCCTCAACATATACAAGTAGATACAAAGATTATGTACACAAGTTGACACGGTAGACATCTTTATTTTGATCCCAGTTACATTTACTCCCAATACTCTTTACATCTTCGTATGTTTATGTTAACAGCTTCGTATGTTTATGTTTTGTGCTAAAGGTTATCAGTTATATACCACAACATTCGGTCATACCTTTGTGTTTATGCGTGTTCCACTATAACCAGACATCCCCACTTTATGTTGTCCCCTTGATTACTGTGATTTCATACTGTAGTTTTTGTGTTTTTCCCCAGTGTTCTGTACCAGTCTGTACCATTTTTCACCGCTTTAGCACCACTTTTAGGTCTTTTCTTTCTAGCACCATTAGTACCACTTTAATTGAGACTTTAGGGCCATTTGATATTATGCAAATTTGGGGCCAATGGGTGGGGTTTGAAGCCGTTCGAAAGAGGGTCGGGGCCGAAGTGTCATAACCTTAATTTTGTTTTTATTTCTCGTACTTACGAGTCCGTATTTTAGCCAAAATTTGAGTGGACTGGGCTGACCCGCAGGCAACCAACAGGAAGTTTAGGCATAGTCCAAGGGTAACGAAAAGTTGGAACCGTCCAGGCTGGCGTCCAAGGCTTTCCGACCACAATGAGACCAGATTATCGACCATTTCTCGGCTAGTCCAACGGTTTTTCAACCATTTTCCCAGTCCAAGCTTTCGACCAGTGCCAAACCAATGGTTATCGACCAGTCGTAGGCCAGTCCTGTCACCAGTCAGCGGTCACATCAGCGTCATGGAGCGGGTCCATTCCTCCGACGTGACCAGAAGACCGTGTATCGATGGAGAAGAGACGGTAGTCCAAGGAGAAGGATCGGCTAGTGTGGCCATCGGATGGACAGGGCTCGGGGGGAGGGTTCGTTCTTCAGCCGAAACTAACAAAAAGTGCAATTTTAGGGCGTGGTAGGCAAGTACAGTCAAGTAAACCAGGTTGCGCAATCTCCATCGATCGAAGAACGACTACGAGCCCTGCAATGGTCCTGGCGGACGCAGCATCCGATGCCCGGCGCAACGTCACAACAAGATTCACAGTTTCTCAAAATTCGATTTATTTCTACCAGCGGCCATTCCGAAAACTAAACGAAGGTTGGGTTGACAAAAGTTAGGGTTAAGTTGACAAAAGTTCAAAAATGTAGTCAGGTTACGGTAGTTCACACTAGATGTGCTTCGCGAGGGTACTATGGTCTTCCCCATGCACTATCGTCCTATCGCATTCCCACATCATGCTATCCCAGCTTTATACTGCCTTAGGCGGTCGGATGGACTAACTAGTTATCTGGCATGTCGGCTAACTGGCTAGCTGTTTAGATTTCCGGTCTAACTCGCTAGATTCCTGGTTTGGCTTCAGAAGAGCTCCCCAAACTCTTAGCTAGTTCGTTCAGTCCTTAGACTAGTCCACAAAAGACAGTTGGAGTACGGTAGACATTACAGTCTTACAGAAGAATCCCGATTCTGAAAACGCAAATCCACAAATAAAAATGCCACGGTAATGTAAAATGTCACAACATATACCCCATAAATAAAATAACACAATATATACACCCAAAGAATTACTGTAATATGACTATTTTTCTTCTATGTCAAGGTAACTAAAACAATACCCTTAAAACAAAAACCTAAGATACTATGTCCCCAGCCAAAACCAGTCAAACCAAGTGTATTACCCAGAAGTAAAACTCACAATCCCATTCGAATTCCAGGGCTTCTGAAGATAACATCAAGTTACACCCCTCGGGGCAGCAAACGTACGGTAACACGAAGAATCGGAAGCAAAATCGACCCACATGACGGTCGTATCGATCGACGAAAAGGAGAGAAATGAAGGGAGAGCATCCGAGGCCTCCCTTATATACCCCACCCTCCCTGTCCATTTCAACATTCGACGCCGGAGAGGCTTCGGGAAGGGCTCCGAAACCACTAGAAACGACAGACGAACAGAGATCGCTCCAAAGAGACAGCAGGGAGAAGAAAGAGATATTAGACTAACATAAAAAAATCCGATTCGAGTTATAGATGAAGGAATAGTAAGGAGAATATAGAGATTAATGTGTAGAGACGAGGAAAACAAAGAGCTCTCTGATGACAAACTAAAAAACAGAGAATAATATCACTGACTGACAGAAGAGACTTCATTCGACCAGAAAAACTAGAGGGAACAGCAAAGAAAGAGCACCCAGACGACGACACACCCCTCATGGGTAATATCGAAAGCCTTTGTGTTCCCTCTACTCACAGCTGTCTGCTCTTTCAAAACAACTTCGACAGACAGCCGGAGGGTCGGAGAGTTCTGGAGAGGCCTCGATGCCATTTCGAAATGAAATTGTTTTCGGCACAATATCATGTGGGTGGACACGTCAATTGACATCATTACGAAACTCACTTATACCATGGCTTTATATGGTAATTAGGTGGGAACAGAACCACGAGATAGTTTGAATGCTTATAGGTAACACGAACGATTATTATAAATGTTAACTTTATAAAAAATATCTAACATAATATAGAAAATAAGAAATCGGTAAATAAAAATAACATATACTACGTATAAGTATGATGACATGATAAAAACCCTCTATTTTAACACATCACGTCAAAATCAACTAGATTTGGTCCAGACAACCTTTAGCTTTACGCTCGATAAAGAAGACACCCCTTATAGTCAACAGACTCAACATTTACAATATATATCTATTTTTACATTCTATAGTTATAACTTTTTAATAAGTATTTTAATAATTATTGAAAAATATCAAATCGTATTTTAAACTAATAAAACAGTCTATTTAAATATATTCAAAGCAAAACGAGCAAAATAACAAGGATAACATAAATTTGAAAATTGAGAAGTTGAATATAATAAAACAACATCAATTAAAAAACGCTAAGAAAATAAAAATAAAAACGTAAAAAGTAATTAAAATAAAAATCAATCAAATCTTAAATTTTCGTCCAGAATTTCGTATTTTCTAAAAATATTTCAGATTTTGTAAAAAGAATTGCCCGAGTTGCGCCCGCACTTTCTCCAGGGATTTCAAAATTAGATTTCGAAATATGAATATTGAGAAATAGTTTATGAAAATAAGGTTACAATCATCTATCCAAGTGACTCAACCAAATTTTAAAACTTTCTTTTCACAATATGATAGGGCAGCAATTCGACAGATTTCAAATTAAATTCGATCAAAATTAGGTAATAATATTATAGTTATATTATATTTATGTAGTTCATTAATGGTTTTTCAGACTAACCGCCAACATTTATTAGTTTCTAGCTTTATTTTTATTAAAGTTACAACAAGATATTATCATGAATAAGTTTGGAGTTGAGAATACCTTTATTAAACTAAATTGACATAGCTAAAGTCTAAATCAATATAATGTACACAACTTGACACTTTCAAAATCAGGTTCTTCGATTAAACAATGATCGTCGTTTCCGAAGATTGGTATTCAGTCCGTTTTGGCCGAGTGCTGGCTGGCCTAGGGTTGGTTGTCCTAACACATTGGTAGGCTGACCAAGTGTGTTGGTAGGCTGGCCTAGAGTATTTGTGGTTTGGCCAAGTGGGTTTGTGAGAGGATTAGTACCCAGAGGTTGTAGTCCAGGCAAGGCCGGGGGTACTGTAGCTGATAGGGGGTCTAGCGGGTTCAAGGGCTGACCTGGGAGGGGCTGCGACGGTAGGAGTTGAGAGAGTACTGTAAAATCATAACATAAAGTTAAAAATATTTTGATGTTACAATTTCTACTACAACACTGCTATTACTACAGTAATACACTAAAAAGTAATCTTTGTAAAGTTACAGTAAACTTACCGAGAGGAGCGAATAGTAGGATTGACAGGGCTTTCATGATGATGATAGAGATGGTGTACAAGTTGCAACTCTCTCTTAAATACCACTTGTTAATCTTGTGTTTACCGTGGTGGCTTCCCTTGGTATGTTAAATCTGGTATATACTGTGAATAGTATATCACAGATCTCCTTAATCACCCAAAACAATACCTACTTTACGAATAGACTATCAGAGATCAATTAAAACAACAGCCTACAGCGCGATGTTTAAGCATTAATGTTACATTACAGGCATCGGATATGAATCACGGTATGTTGTGGTAGCTTTTTATTGATCTTTGAGCATATTATGTGAGTTACTGTACATATTGTGTGGGTTACTGTACATATTGTGTAAGTGTATTAAAAATGACATTTGTACCTTAATTATTACGGTTTCTGTACTATTCTTTGATGTCTAACTTACTTTTTATTGGTTTTCCCAGCCTTACTTTCAAATATAATCCTTGGTAATGTAACCTTACAATCGTGCTACAGCTGTACTAATCGTTGGAAGTGCTAAAACTAATTAGTTTGCCCTCAGGGGACCGTTTCTCTTCTCTTATTCGACCATTTTGAGTATCTTTTTTGACCTAAATGTCGCTTCTTCAGATTCTGTCATGGCTACGGAGAGGATTCAGCGGCCGAAACGTCATCTACACGAATACCGTGCTCACTGTCGTCATATCTGGATCAGCTGACGTTGTGGAACAACGTATCATCAACAAGAATGTTGATTTGAAGCGGTCAGGTAAGTTGATATAAAATACGACAACAAGCTTTAGCAAATGATAAAAGTTTACATTGCTAGTAAATATGTCAACACTTTGTATTATGTTATTGAGCATTGATTAGTCCTACTATAAATTTACAGTATGCTAGTTATTCCGACCTTTTTCTTACTGTAATCTATTGTATTAATTTAGTAAAAGTCGGCATGAGTGGCCTCTTACTAGGCCCAATGAATACATTATGGTACAATATGTTAGACAAAAGCTTACCAGGAAAAACAAAATCACATGTGTTCAAGAAGGTTCTCCTAGACATCGTCGTCTCTCCTCTATTCGCTTCTACTTTCATTTGTTCTGTAGCCGTTCTTGAAGGCAGCTCTGCCACAGATGCCTTCAACGAATACTGTAACAAGTTTCTTGATGTTTTGAAGGTAGGTTTTACAGTCAATACTATAAATGTAAATGTGGTTTTGACAAGTATATAGACAGTTTTGCGTATGTATGTTAAAAATATATTGTAACACTCAAACTTGTTTTATGTGTAATATTACTCTTTCAGCTTGACATTTGCTTTTGGCCACCTGTTCAGACCGTAAACTTCCTTTTACTGCAGCCAAAATACCGAGTACTGTATGTGTTATGCACAATGTTCTTTTACAGTACGATCCTGACTTATATCAAACATAAACCATGACTTACACAGAATTTAATTGAAGTTTTTACAAATGGTCTCGTAGAAAGATAAGAAGGCTTTAGTTGGTCCAAAAGGAAAAAGCAACACTAGCCAGGTACCTACAATCCCCCCCCCCAGAATATCTATTAACCTCACAGTATTACGTTAGCCTCACAGTAAAAGCCCAAACTTTTTGATTAACCACATAAGTTTCATGTTCCTCTGTTCGATACCTCTCATTCTACAGTAAATCACCATGGTATCGCTGCCAATTGTTTGCCGCTTCGTATGTGAAGTTGTATACCGCCCTCGTGAAACGTGACCATGAGCCGAGTTGAATGTACATTAGCTGTGGGTAGCGCGGTACCTCCCGATTATTAGCGCGAATAAACGAGTCGGAAGGGGATATTCGACCGGATTGCGTCAATCACGTCCATCTTGACAACAACATAACGGACCCTACATTACTCTACAGTGTCTGTCTATTAAGCAGTAGGTAGTAGATATTGTATTCAGGTGGTTGTTGTTCTATGTTAACTACAGTACGTAGATCAAGTACTAAAGGTATTTGTACAGTAGTATTCTGTAACATAATATTGCATAATTCAATCCACACCTGTGTTTTCTATTACACATTCAACTATATATCAATTAACAATATATTGCGGTAATCTAACTTGAAGTTTCTTTGATCTCTATCAAGTGTAACATATTCTTCAACATTTCCGTTTGATCCAGCTGTGAATTCAAGGTTCTTCCGTAAAATACCTTGATATGGTTTTCTGAATTAAATATACGATGAATCGTAGTGATATCACATGGCTAGGTGATATTCTATTTAACAGAAGTAACCGGTCTATAAAGTACTTGGAAGATGGGTAAGTTAATATAACCATATATGTTACCTCATTGCTTAAAATCGCTTTGAAAGTATCGGATCATCTTACCATCATGATTTACTTTGAAATGTACACGTGATTTTAATGTATTCTTAATTACCATTGTTCATATTACACTTGAAATACCATATGTCTTACAGTAATATCTACCTCCTGAACGAGTTTGTGGAATGGCAAGACATAAAGATAAGACTGAGCAACAACTGGTCATATATGGTATGTTATGCCACTTCCATGGTTTTCAACTTCGTTTGGTTTCTGATGAGTTTGAGGAAAAAGAAACATGAATATTACCAAAAGTAAGTTGTCTTAGGTAAATCGCAAGATCAAAACATGGTTTAAACAATCTTATAAAGCTATAGTGTAAATAATTAAAATTTAAATTCTACTTTTACAGAGTAAACATAATTCTGGCCAATTTGGCCTTTACCAACTTTATTTTATCGACCGGTTTCCTGTTTTACACTTTTCTAATCGACATTTACTACGATGTAGACTCGTTTAACACCTTGATATCAATCAACCAAGACTCTGTGTTCTACCAAATATGGCCTATATCAAAGGTAACAATACGTTTTACATTTTTATCCATTAATTTACCGGTTGTATCCCTCACTACCTAATTCACTATTTAAAAACTGATTTAAACATCAAATAATCAGTAACTTTTCTGATGCTTTGAAGCAAATCAAAGCGAACAAGTTAAAAAGGTCATCAAAATATCAAAAACTAATACATAAACCTACCTTTAGATCATAATCCACAAGGAAATGGTTGAATCCTTCAGCTCTTCACAGTCGATCGTCATGTTCATGTTGAGTGTGGACAGATACTGTGCTTTATTCCCAAATTACTGTAGCTTCGTGAAAAGGATGTGGATGTTTGTAATACTGGCATTGACTCCATATATCTTGTCAATGATTCTACTAGACGAAGATCTCTCGGCCTACTTTATGAATACGGAACAAATCAAAATATTAAAGTAAGTTATTGAACCAGCATGAAAAGTAATTTAGAAAATATTATTTTAAAAAGTTTAGAGTATAAGTAAAAAGCTTTTATAAAATACGAAAGCTTGCCTAAAAACCTGTATTTGTATGGCAAAGACATAATTTTGTTTCGATCAATATTTAAATTTGGTCATGTAACGCAATGCCACAAAGATTCCTTTTTCAGATTGGTTTTCTGGCTGACTCCAACTCTGCTGGCCTTGATATTCACAAGTTGCAGCGTTGCTCGGCTTCTACAAGACAGTTACTCCAGCAACCCCAACCACAATCTACCATGTTCGGTATCTTTGTTCTTGTTGTTGATTATCCAGATCGTGGAGAAGTTCGGCCACTTTCTCAATCTTCTCCATGAAAACTTTCGCGTTCACATCGTGGTGGGATCGTCTCATGCGAATCAAGTTCTCGACAGATGTCTATCTGCCTTCTACTCGCTTTCTGATGTTCTACTCTTGTATTCTCCATTGATTCAGGCGATATTCTTCTTGCTCTCGATGAAGCTCTACAGGAAGAAGATGATGCGGATGGGCGACAGACTGATCAAGTGTTTTAGATGCAAAAGGAAGCCTAAATTAGACTACAATTCGGAGACTATGAAGTCGATTATAGCTGAACAGAAGAGGTTTAGGCAGATGAACAAAGCTTGATAATCTTTTGGTGTTTTGTGATATTATCCATGGTAATTTCAGTGTTGAGAATCTTTTTTGTTTTTCCAGTCTCTGTTTAGTGCTTTCAATTTGTGATACAGGTTCAAAAGTAAATAGAAATCACTTTTTCAAGTTCGATTTGAAAACTTATGCTTTTTATTTACTTTGGACCAAAATATTAGAGTATTATTACTCCTTTAGGATCTTACGGTTTAACTTTATACTTTTACTTAACTACAAGCCATTAAACTACGAAAAACTGCCTATTACATTGTCTTTTACTATCGAAAATCGCCGATATTATAGTAGACCCATTTATTGCGATTAGATTCTCGTGAAACGGCGGGTGACGATCGTTTATATACATCGGAAATAAAAATTTATTATTATACATTATTAATGCAAAAGGAGCATCGCCCGCCGCGCCACTGTGGTATAACAAACACCGCGAGTATTTACAAACAATTAGAGACAATATAACTACTGATATGATATGTTGCTACTCAGTGATGGTCGGAACCGAGGGATCGTTGGTGGGGAGACCAGTATGACGTCGAGAAGGTAGGGAGGGGACGGGGCTTGTCTTCCCTGAGGTCGGCTCCTCCGGGGGGATCGGGCTGGAGCGGGGTGAGGGCGAGCGGGTGGGGAAGGTGGCTGATGGAGGAGGCGTGGTCGCGTTAACAAGGTCCAGGTACTGTTTCGACTGCAGGAAACGACGGTAAGAGTCCTTCGCCATGAGCTGTTGGATCTTGTTCTGGGCCAGGTTGTAGGTATCGTTGTTGAGGCCTTGCTCGATCGCCTGCAGGGTGGCGGATTTGGTTTCGGCATCAAGGTTGATCTAAAGTAGTATAGTTTAGAAGGTCTTCTCACTAACTATTTTTAATACTCTAAACCGCAAATAACGTTTGTTTTTAAGTTTTGTCTTAAAACATGATTTCCGTTAGCTTTTGAGGCCAAATCCAGTCGAAAACAACATGAATGTCAAGACCATTCCAATTACTGTCACTTACCTCGCGAGGTGCGTCTTTTCGGAAGTAGGCATCGAAGATGGCCTGGCTTTTCTGGTTCAATTTGGCCTTGTTTTTGCACTTTTTGAACTCCTCCACGTCCAGGTAGAAGTCCAGGTTCTCTGAGCTGACTTCCCCGATCACGAACTGTCTGAACATCTCGAGGCCTAGTTTGCTGGTGAGAAGGTTCTCGAACGAGTCCTGCCACGCCTTGACCTCATCGGCAGACGGACACAAACTGTTCGTGCTCAACGTCAGATCCACCCGCTCGACCTTGTTCCGGATAAAGTTTCCAATTTTACTGATTGTGGTGGGTCTAAAAAGGGAAGGTAAACAATAATATTGGGCTGCAAACGGGAGAATTCGATGCAATTTTGCACAAATAATATTAAATTTTTGAAATAATGAAATTTGAAATAAATTTAAAATTAAAAAACGTCAAAACGGATATAAATAATGTAAAATACGGCCCTGAAAATTTTAACTCAAAAACTTCAAAAGATATTAAAACGTGATTTTTATCGAAATTTTTGCTCAAAAAAATTAAAAATTCGAAGAAACCCAACCGGTCGATGAAAAGCAAAAAATAAAAACTCACAACTTGAACTTGCTGTTCCCCGAAGGCTGGATGCGTTTGTTGTTCTTGTCGGTGACACTGTCGTTGGAGTAGGTGAACGAAGCCACCCGCCGCACCGAGGGGTGGTTTGCGGCTGATTTCTGGGAGGAGATCTCGCCCGAGACACTCGGCTGGGTAGATAACATCTTTCTGGGCAAATCGACCGACTTGCTCTCTTTGACCGGTCGTTGGGGAGGGACGTGGTGGGAGGGGGCCGAGTCAGCGTACAGCATCCCGTAGTTGATCTCCTGGTCGGTGGAGCAGCCGGGCACGGGCAGGCTGGGCGTCTGGGAGTAGTTGGAGGTGTCGGCTAAATTATCTTGGCTTAGCGAAGGTTTGATTACCGACTTTTTTAGTCGGACCAGAATGCTGGACCGGGGTTCTTCTTGCGAGCGGGCCGGCCTTTGGGTTCGCCAGCGGTGAAAGGGCATGGCAATGGTACTTTAGGGGTTGTGGCCAATGTTTTATGGCCAAGGTATGAGTTATAGAACAGGCAATCTTATAGCTAATTTTTAGTCAATAGGTACCCGCGTAGCCTAATACAAAAGATATGGCAGTTTCGTGGCCAGAATAACAGTCTATGTTGTACCAAGGTAACGGCTGATCTAGTACCCAACTAACAGCCGGTACAATCACCGACTTCGTACCCGCGAGTAATAGGGAATGGCGGAGTAACGCTAGGGCCAACAGAAGTCGAGTTCAATAAACTCCTCTCCTTCTTCTCCTACCTAAACGCCGGCCCAAACTGGGCGAGGTCAGACGACAGTTCTTCTTCATTCTGAGGTTCGTGCTCACCCCTTCACTCACTCATTCGACCGCACTTCGAATCTAATCTCCCTTCACCTCGGCCGTCGACGGAATGTCATGGTTCCGGCGGAAAAAACAAAAACTTGGAACCTGTTTTCTTCGTCGCCCGCCCAGTAGTTCAAGGTGTTCAGGAAGGCCGAAATGGCCGTCGGGGCTGGCTGTGACGATAACCCCGCCATAACCGGATATCTGACGCTTTCACGCGTCCGTTGGCCTGCCTTTCCCCTCCCCCCCTCGCTTGGCCATGCAATTTTAAGAATAAGGATTAAGTACTTTGATAGAGTACCATCGCCAAGGTCTTAACCCGAGATTTTTTAAGCCCCCAGGGGTTTGCTATTATTCCACACACGGTCCCTTGGGCATATTAATATCATTTACAGTCATTTCTTCTTCATTTTTTAAAACAAAAGTGTTGTTCCTAGATACTAAGTTTCCAATCTTTCATTTTTCCAAAATTTTAAAACTTACTGGTTGTCATAAGGTACGGTAACGTGTGCCGATGCCGGCTCTTATACTCTGCTCCAGTAGAACTGAATGAGTTCGAAGACGAGCTCAAGTTCATTGTGTCCAAGGTGTCTTTCTTCTTCTTGAACTGTTGATCCTGAGAGATGGCTCGCACTGGGAGACTGACCTTCTTCCTGGGTACCATTCCAATGCATTCCAAGGGCAGGGCGGCAGTATGTTGCATCATGGCAGGCACGTACTGTGGGACCCGTGTCGAGGCCATGGCCCTGACATTATTGTTCCTGGACTTGCTTGGGGTTTGTAGGGAATGACGCCTGGGGTCGGCCAGGGTGGAGGTCGAGGCGGACCCTCGAACTTCTTTCATCAAGGGCCGACGACAGATATCTTCGCCCATCATCTGAAACATCACGGTTTATGATTGAAGGTGCCAAGTTTGAGACAATTTTGATGCATTTGTTAGGACAGGGGAGCGGGCCAAGGGAAGGAACTCACTTAATAAACCAAAAGTTTTGGGAAACCGCGAGAAATTAAGGACAAAAAAGAATAAACCGAGAACAGGTGACTACGATCAGCACTGATAAGGCTCCAGATAAAGCAATTTATGCAGAAACGGAACGCACGCTACTCGTTAAGAACTACTCGTTAAGAGAGGGTGTAACATTAAAAGGCTTGCAAGAGTTTATTTAAGGGCCTTGTTAGTTCATTTCTTAAGAAAAGTTAAGATGGGAGGCTATTTTAGATTATAAGACAGCTTTCTAATTGTTAGTAGATCATATTCGGGTCAAAAGGTATACATCAAAATGGTCAAGAAAGACCGAAAGACCATCTATAGAAGTTATGCCACTTTTTGACCTCAAAACAACTTTTTAATTCTAAAATTCGGCCAAAAATGCCAAGAATGTGGTTCAAAACCTAACCCAAACTAACTTAAACTACAATTCAAAAACCTATGTGTTAACCCTATTCGATCACATCTACTACAATATCAAGCCTAGGTGACGTCGCCCTACAATCCTTGGGTTATTTACTGGAAAAAGTTTATTTTGATCCCAAATTCAAGGGAAAACAAGTGTTGTTTGTTGTAATTTACCTCGCAGATCAGGGTCACAGCTGATGAATGGAGTAAATAAGCGGTCGGACAGACCATCGGGTCGGGCCGTAGCGCCCGATGCCAACGATTGTACATGGGTGAGGGCCAGGACGAGTTCATAATGTTGGCGAAAGTCATAATATCTGGGGGCTGGTGAGTTAATTCGATTCCAAGCGTCACCAAATGAGTCCAACACACCAGATTACCAACGGCTTTTCTGCTATTTTTGCTCGCCCAAAGCACGGAGGAAAAAACGGATAGCTCAACGTTCCCTCAGCCCAATCTCAGCCCAGGTGTTTGCCTCCAAGGATAAAGGCAGCTGGTCTGCGAGGCTTCTGAACTTGGGCGTACAGAAGCTAATTTAGGCTAGCGTTTCTTCAGGTTTGTAGAAGTGTGATACAGAACCTTACAAATTAGCTACAGTACCTTTCAAAGGCTTACAATGCCTTGAGTAACAGGTACAGAAGTTTTAACAGGTCTAGAAAGCCTTTAAAACCTCTATCACAACCTCAAAAAGAAGTAAATAGCCTTTAACTAGCAAGCTCTTAAAGACTACTAAAACATCAAAGTTAGAAACGGAAGCGGTTCCTTTCCTCCCCTAATCTACAGTTCCTCCCCCTCAAAGGGCAAATTACAAGAGTCCACTGATTAAGACCAGATTCATGCTCGATCGGCCCATAATGAGACGTAATTAGGAAGTTCTTACATCATCAACAACAACACGTATGCGTTGAGCATAAATCAATCCTAAATATAGAATTACCCTGTCAACAGCCAAAATTCAGATCAAAATTGATATGGAGGTCAAAGTAAAACATAAATTAATCAGTTGGGAGGGAACAAGACACAGCCCTACTATGACATGGGCTGAGAATCCCTACAAGGTGGTAGAGAACAGGAAAAAACAAAATTTGTAACAAAGTAACGCCATCGAGTCTTGTAAATATTATGGTCAAAAAGTATGTAGAATCATGTTTCCTTTTAACTCTGAAGACACTAGTTATCAACAAAACACTAAACCACCCTTAAAAACTCCCGTTCGCAAACAGCCAATGACAAAACAGGCCTAAACATGGTAGTAAACATCTGCTACAAGATGTCCAAAATTCACTATAAAATGTCAAAAACTACAAGAAACTAGTGGAGCAAAGCCGGTGTCGAAACTAATCAATTAACACTCCCCACACCCATTTAAGTTGTCAGTGAAATTGTATGAAGACGTCAAATAGATGACTATAAATAGCGTCAAGAATCGTCCTTAATATTTGATAAAGGGGCCTTCTACAATGTCTAAATTAAGGTGGAATGGAAACCGGCTGGCCCCACGCCCCAATCCCAGCGCCCATTTACCACTCGACATTTATTTTATTTTTACACCCGCGGTTACAAGGATTTGAAGGCCCGAAATCCCCTCACAAATCCCTTAATACACCGCCCAAAAACAACACAAGAGCCCTGACATTGACTTCCAATGTTGGCGGATAATTGGCCTGATTAGTCTTGGCCTACCTGTCAGGCTGGTGGGTATGCCGGGTCTCCGGGTCATAAAGTTTAAAGAAAAACCGAAAAGAAAGGTCAAGATTGGTTAGAGAATAAAATTATATACATTTCGACAAGAGATACAGTCGCGTCCCCTTACAAGCACTGGCTTGGTCAATATTTCAAAAAGGATCGAAAGAACAACGCCAAACTCAAGCAAAGCCGCCCTTCTATGAACTTTTTGATCAAAAGGACAATAACCTACGTAACCTAATAAAAAATAGTATTTTTCAGGAATTCTGTGCACTTTTAGACCTCAACAGCAAGAATATGTACCTCACAAACGGTCAGTTGGCCCACCACAACTCCTCGATATGGCCTAATAAAACCTTTGGCGGCCGAAGCCAAAGATTGGTCAGACGAAGATAAGATGCTCCCCTGAGAGTCGGATTTATAACCTACCTTTACTGGCGAAGCCGAATACGTTGAAGAGGACGTGGAGAACATGGAGTTGCCGCCGACTTCGTAGAACTTGTTCGTCAGAATCTGAAAAATAATTTTGAGGAAATCACTGGCTATATTAACATATTGATTTTAAAATAATATTTTCCTCAAAACTTTTAAAAACTGTTGGGATATTTAATACTTCAGGCAAAGAAATATGCAGAATATACCGTTTTAGCCCCTTTTCCCCTTATATTTACATTTCTACGTACTTTTCGACCAAAAGATTACTTGGCAATGCTAACACTACTACAACACACAAAATTAAACTGTGAAAAATGCCATTCTTTCCCCTCCCCACAAGTTTCAATGCTATTTTCAAAATTTTCGAACCGAAAAAAGTTATTTTCCTGAAAACCGATCACCAAAACGCAGATTATAATCCCAATCACCATGTAAAGCCTCACCTTATCCTGTGACATCGTGGTCGACTCGCCTTTCTCCGGTCCCAGCAAGAAATAACCGCCGTTCAATATCTGAAACAACTTAGAGTTTAATTCGTTTCGTCGGAATCTATAATTCTAATGAGTCTCCCGAGATTGGAAACACGACTTACCGGTCTCATCTTGTGCTTCGAGGATCGATGTCGTTGACTTTTGTTCGCCTGAAGAAAGGATTCGTTAGAAATTTGGGTAATCAGGGGAATTTGGAAGTGTTTTCCTCCAGTTTTTGCAAGAATAATATAGTAAAACATAACATACATGTGTAAAATTACAAAAATACACTAGAATATCGAATTAAAACTGAAGTAATCGTGTATCCAACCCTCAAAATCCCAAAACTCCACATAAAGCAGCCAAAATCTTCCAGTAAACCAAACTTCAAACTAATATTTCTTCAGTAAAAACGTAAATCTACCTCTATACTTTACATCCCACTTAAAACAATATAAACCCATTCAAAGTCCCTACACTATCAACCATAATATATTCCTCTAAAACAATGTACTTGCCTCCTTTCCCTTCAAGTACAACTTCCGGATAGAGAAGGCCATCTGACCCAGCTTCGTCCCAATCCAGTAGCCATCTTCATCACCTCTGTCCTTTGTGAACACACTGATTCCAATCTTGTCGTGGTTCTCAAAGTTGGACTGTGCCAATTCTAATGTAAACTTGAGTTTGTACCTCGGGTTGTGACCTTCTACAACATGACTTTCAAAGCACGGGAAGTTCCGATCTCTTCGGCCGCGTTTTCGATTGCTCGAGTTGAAGCTTGGATTTGGGTGAATCTCAACTTGTACCTTCGAGAACACCTCGTCGTACCGATTGAGAAAGAAGGCTCCCTTATCGACCAAAACTTCGATCGTCCCTCGGTTCACATCAACGTAGAACTTCAAAAACAAAATACCTAAAAACAATTTTTATTAAAATGTAAATTGTTACCTAAATTAGTAACAAATAACATCCGTATTCGTTTATGAATCTAAAAATATCTTACCATGACATCCTAAAATCTTAGCCAGCCCCCCGGGCAGATTGTATTCTTCTGGTCGATTAAATCTGTCGAAATTATGATCAAAAATAGAAACCGGTTCCGCCTTCTTCTGCTTCTTGGGCTCTCTGACTGGTCGCACTGGCGTCATTTGAGGACTAGAACTACCACTAGGATAATACCTACTTGGATCCAACTCCAGCGGAGGTGGAAGGTCACTTTCGTCTGTAACATCAGGCTGAAGATCCAGTTGTACTGGAGACACGGTATCCAATCTGTCATCGAACTCGTCGCTGGAGTCACAATTATATTGAAAGTTTCTTTCAATGTGAGAGAACTGTGAAGAATCTGAAGTTATGTCGGACGTGCTGTACACAGTACGACCTGGACATGCTCGTTTGGACCTGTGCCGTTTCTCGACTTCATCGTCAGACACTGAAGATGTGGTGGAGAAGGTCGTGGCCATATCCCTGTTCATCTGCGACAACGATGGTATAAAAGGTGGACATTCGTTGATCTTAGTAGAGGTTGAGGGTCCATTCACTCGTCTTCCGTGACTGCTACTGCGCTTAGCTGGGTATAGTAGCTCGCCACATATATTCTCTTTGCCATATGTGTACATGTTATTCATCCTGAACAATACTTGGATTAAAAATGAAGTAAAAGGTGCAAAAATACGTTTCGCGAATGTTTAAATATTTATTTTAAAATTTCAAAATTAAAGTTTTCAAATAAAATTTTCAAAATTTTAGATTGAAAAGTCGACAACCCAAGGTCAAAGATTTAAAATAAATTTAAAACCATCTAAACTCATCCTTTTACCTCAAAATTTATAGAGTTCGAATTCTCTTCGATCAAGCAAATGTGGAGAACATATAACGCGCATTCAAATAGCCGATCAACCGCCAAAAACGCGACTCAAATCTTCTGATAAAAAGGTTATAAAAACAATAGGAACAAAGAACGGAGCGGCGCCATAAACTTGTAGAAGATTTGAATAAATTGACATCGTCGTAAATAAAAGATATTTAGGTTACTGAATATCGATTACAGGTTAATTACCATATGTAATGAAAACTCTAAATGAAAGCCAAAAACTGACAAAATAAAAAAAAAAACTTCATTACCATATCTCAAGAAATATGTCTTAAAATATATTTTATGCCAAAGCCTTACCAAGGTGAAGTTAAACATAAGCCTAAATAACGAATAACTGTAGACATGAAGAAAGGGCCGGGCCTGGCCCAAATTTAGGTATGGCCAGGTCTAAAAATCAGGCCCGGCCCATTCCACATGTCTAAATATCTGTGAGTTGGTCCCCAAAACCTTTCCATTTGTCCTAAAGTAAGGTTTTGTTACACCAAATAAACTTTGGAATAAACCTTGTCAAAACGAATGAAAGTCTATCCAGAAAAAGCTCTAATAGATGATGGATATCCATTACAGATCATAAAACATCTCTCGCCTTCAAATCCAAAACATTTCCAAGACGACTCATAAAAAACGGCCCACTAAGAAAAGTTTAGGCCAGGTACTGTACGAATCAAATTGTTTTTTAATTGGGAGTGGAAGTTTTATAGCCAACTACACCCCTGAAATTGAGTTATGTCATCTAATTTTAGCTACAATCACACTACGTCAGAAATTTAAAAGATTTTACTGTTAAACTATAAGCTAAAGCATCAAAACCGTGCCTAAACCAACAAAATCCACCCTCAAACTGTCGGAATCAGACCCAAAAACAATGAAATCAAACCGCCCGATGTCCAAACAAAAGCCGGCTGTCCATTTTCGAAGGACCGTTAACCCACGCGCCTCACGCCAAAGGATTACAAGATCGAGAACAACAAAACCCTCCGAAGACAACTTAATGACAGGCCTCAAGGTCGTGGAAATGCGCCATTCCAATCCAGGACTTTGACGAATGTCCGAAAAAAACACAGCCAAGGTCAGAACATGTGGACGAATCAATCAAAACCGCCTATATTATCCTTGTGAGATCAGGCAATATATTGCTTCTTGTGGGATCAGGCAACCCAACTCTAATACCCCCAGGGCATATCTCGGAATATGTTACAAAGAATGTGTTTACGCAGCGATACATCTTCCGACGGGATTCTGGGGCCCGCTTCAGACTTTTTTTCATCCAAACCCCAGACGAGCCATTCATTTCCGGCATTTGACCAGTCGTTTTCGCGGTTTTGGCACCGTTAAAAGGATCGTCATAAATTACGAATAAAGTCGAGGATGTAAGCGATACACAGCAACGTAAGTGGATATCTGTCCAAAAATATAGCGATACTTCAGGAACAACATAAAACACTTACAATGTGTTGGGAAAAACAAAATGGCTGTAAAATGACGTAAAATATGGCATCTGTAAAAGAAGCTAACAAAAACAACGAAAAAAGTTAATTCTAAATTATATTCTTTTAGGCCAATTTTTCGTATTTAACAAACCCCCTCTCAAAATGCCATCACCTCAAGCCGCAAGACAGTCAAATGCGGCTTTGCCAAGTTTAATTGAAACGAATTAGAATAGGACACCAACCTGACGTTAGGTGGGAAAGGTCAAAACAATAGGCAGCTGATGCCACGAAACCTTAAAAAGCCTGGTCGCGGCCACAAATTGAGCGTGAGAAACAAAACAAAGACAAGATTGACCCTAATTAGGTGCAAACTCTCGCGGACTGGATTAATCCGGCCGAACAATGTCCTCGAGACGGATCATCGCAACAACATTAACTTCGCAATATGTAAATTTTGGTCTTCGAGACAAAAAGATGTCAAGATGGCATTAAGTGGAAACCTATTGTCAATTTGGCAATATATTAAAGTAGATTTAAGAGCCTTACTGTCCAAAAAACCCTTTAAAACCTTAAAAATAACCAGCCTCTGCCACAGTAACCCATCACGCAAAACATCAGACGAGTACATTAAGCATGTGGTCGTAAAGATATGGGTAATCCAGTCAATATTAGTCGTAAAATGTCTGGAATCAGGTTAGCAAACGGCAGATGCACGGGAGAAGCATAAAATCGACCGAAAACGCATAAAATCCGTTTTACAACAACCGGAGGCATTTTGTAGTTGAAAGAGGGCCATTAAACGGAAAGTTTTGCGCGTCCTTTCGGAATTGGCCGATCAGCCCATTCAAATCAGATCGGCGCTGAGGGCCCTTTCATTTTATCGACATTCCCAACCCGAAACCACATAAATAAGAGCCGGTGTTTATCGACAGCTTTTGTTAATGTTACAGAGAACCTTCCGCCCCATAAATAAAACCATTCTGGCCATAAAACCCAACACAATAGACATATTGCCGTCTACTATACAGAATCCCATACTATAATATACTCGAGTACGTCAGGCCTTGCCGCCAGAGAAGAGGTATAGTAACTGGAATGATATCAGAAAACGGAAGCAGATTTACATAACTGGATAACAAAGGTAACATCTAGGATTTCGAAAAGAACGTTCTTATAACAAAAAATCAACAACTAATACCTATATAAAACTACAACAGTAATATAAAGCAATGTTTAAAAAAATGCAAAATTTAAATGAATTTGAGAATGTTGCCTCAAGATGGTTAATGCAGACCATTTGGCCGTCCAAAAACCCTCTGATAAACGACCTAATTTATAATTTATATAAAGAATGACCTCAATCTGCCCTGTCCGAAGGTAGAATGACAACCTCCACCCCCTTAACGAATCAAGAATTCAGGGCCAAGAGTCCGGCTGCACGCAAATTATTATGATCGAAAAAGCGGCTTTTAGTGTATGCAAATCGGGGAGGAAACCCGATCCCCCCACAGAGCAATGTTCTTCATATTCTCCATATTTATTTCTTGTTGACCCCCCCCCCTCGATCCTTGACAAAACGACCCTGCGGTCAGCCGGTAATTGCAAGTAATAATTGACCACCCAAAACGACATTGCGCAACAGAGTGAAAACTACTGAAAATTCGATTCCTTTTTTCAAATTGAAGCCTTTTCAATTTGAATCCGGCTCCATTACCCGGAAATTCCTTGCGGCCAGCCGGAGGCACTTTATAACGACCCGGAGGGCCGCTTGACGCGCCTTTATATGGCTCATAAAAACGACAAGATTCCGCGAGGAATTATGGTATCATAATCATTCCATTGTACCCACCATATAAAAAGTAAAGTGAATCCATTAAAAACAAAAATTATGTCATAATTGCAAAAAAGGTTAAAAAATAACGCAAAAAAGTCAGTGGAATTTCAGCAAAGAATGTGCACCGTGCAACAAGAAGAACACAACCTATGCTTCATTTGAACAAAGTATAAACCTAGTCAAAAAGTTGATAAAAATGAAAAATTAACACCGTTGATCATATTAAAAAGATCCCCTTAAAACGAAAAACCATATTTTAAAAAAATTAAAGCCGTCAAAATTCAAAAAACAATTTTAAAAATTTTAAAACGTCAGTCAGTCCATGTAACATCCAAAAAACGCATCCCATCGCTGCGGTCAGTCAGGCCATACATAGGCGAAAGGACGCCGTCGCAGCCCCCTTCCTCCTTAACTCCCTTATGCCCTCCCGATTAGACGCGCACCTTGAGCGGAGTCATTAACACACAAAGGGGCCGGATTGCGGATCGGTTTATGGATATGCTGGCCAAACAGACGCTTTATGTCCCCGATCGGATTACCGGCCCTCGATTGCCATGAAGAAAAGCATAAACCGACTTCATAACATCATTTCGAGGCAACCCCTCCCCACAACACAACGTCAAAGCATATTGAACAAATCACCCATCAGAACTAGAAGTAAGATAAATCAAAAGGGTGCTTTGTAGAACATTATAAAGAAAAAATTAATCATTTATCACGGTTACAGAAGATACTATCACAATATATTCACTTCCTCAACATAAAAGACTGAAAACCCAAATTGGAACCATCTCTGCTTCATAACAAGACCTCAAGGCATTCCCAGATAGAACAAAAAGGTTTGCAAGACTCAATTAGGATAGAAGGCGGGCTGGATTAGACGCCGGACACAATGCCTTAAACAAATTAAGCCGCGATGACCATCGGATCTCAAACGTTGAAATTTACGCGCTCGCCCGCATAACTAATTCCAATTAACAATATGGAGTTATACCGTAAGACTCTGGTCTTAAATAAAAAGGAAACATAGATTTAGGCAATTTTTTGAGATGTTAATATAAAAAACATGCGATAAAAAGGTATGACCAAAATTAAACGATTAAATAAAATAACCAACTTAACAATGTTATTATAGACCTAAACTAAACAAAACAAAAATATTACTTAAAAATACAGCATAGCGTCAATTTTCCCTTTGGCAAAATTAGCGTGTCGCTCAACAGAACCCGCACTAAAATCATAAAATGTTGCCTTAAACTTTTATCTGCGATTCCCAACACTAAAGTAGTCAATATTGTCGAACGGCGTGAAAAAGAACTTTATCACTCAATTGCCGCAAAACGAGAAAGGTCCTCAAGTAAGGTAAACATGTTATCAATGACCCTCCCAACCATAAAAAATAATTAAAGCATTCCACCGCTCTTTCTGAGTCATTTTCGGAGAAGTCAGTATGACCTCCATAACTAGTTATGAATGCAGGTAAGACACCCCCAATTTGTATTATCCAGCGCGTAACCTAAAATGTCATAATTTAAGTTCAAAATGACTGTTTTAAGATTTAGCCAAATTTTTGTTAGTCGTGGGGAACCATCCGGGCCTGAAACATGGCCGTTCCCCATGTCTAATTTTTGTTGTTTGAAACTAAAAGTTGTAAGTTTAAACATATTGCTGTTCGAATTCCTATGGCTATGACAAATATTCTGCTCATTAAAATACCATACCCACACACAAATACCCCTAATTAAATTACCCCTGCCTAAGGGCGGACTTATTCGGTTAGAACTGATGGAATTTTCGCGCGGCCAAACGGATTCAGATAAAACGGCAGTTGAGCAGAAAATTCCTTAACGAACTGCAATCACCCTCCCCCAATTTCGTGTCCCTTGGCCCCGGTCTTAATCGAGTTTCGCGGCCATACAGAGAAGCCCAAGGCATTTTTCTCCCAAATTCTGGCCGCGACGAGTTCTCGGCAACGCAAAGGAAATGGGCAACCACCGAAAGCGGAAATTACGCACTCCTCTTCAGCCGGCCTAATCTGACAGCTGCTTCGGCAATAACTTTTTCTGCCCCATGTTGTTATACGTTATGGAGAACATTAATTTTTTGCGAGGAAATTCTTCAAAAACCGATTGAATAGTGCATTAAAAATGCAAAGAATTCGAAACCTGTCAGATCAGTTTAGAACGAATTGCATCAAAAAATACATAAAACGGTTAATGTATTCAGTAGAAGCCAAATCAACTAAACACACCTTGATATGACACCAGGTGATCCCCGCCGTAATGGTTTCAGTAGCCACAAAAAAGAAAATTAATTCTACGACATTCGTCGACAATACAGAATTTCGTCCGTCGCGCAAATTAATTTTTTCCGATTTCTCCGATTCAAAAAAAGATTTGCGCAGAAGAGCAACAGTTGACACGCAGCGACATTGTGTCGACTTTTTCTTTTTCACAACATTTTTTTGTAAAATGAAGTTTTATGAAGGTAAACGGGTAAAGATAGATGTAATTGGCACAGAATTCTTGGTTTTTGAATCTGAAGGTAAGGGAATATGTTTTATCTATATGTTTCTTAGATTGTGATGTTCTACTGGAAGAATTACGGGTTGTTGGAAGTCTTCTAAACGAAACAAAGATATCTGAAGATGCTCCCGGCCCTATATCTTTATTGCCTGAGCAAGTACAGGTTTTAGCTGAAGCTGGTAAGTTATAAAACATTTATTTGTGTTAGATTTTATGCATTCACAGATAGAAGTTTTTAAATCTATTTTAGGTATGGTGATTTTACGAAGAATCAAGACATTTGATGGAGCTAAACAAGATGAACCCTCTACCAGCAAAGTAGCGGTTGATCAGGAAGAAGAAGTAAGTGTCGTTTTGTTTAATAATTGTAGTTTAGGATCTTCTTAGAACAAAAGCAGTTGAAATCGCTAAAAGAAAGGAGCTGAAGAATCGAAAGAGGAAAGTCTTGGGAGATAATGTAGCTGCCAAAGTGTTGAGGTTAAAGAAATCGGACGAAAAAGGAATAGACGAAATAGAGGTTGACAATACTGAAGTGGAAAAAGTTTTGCTTCAGCTAAAACAACGACTTGGGTCAAAAGACGAGTTTATGGTTACATATTATAGTAAGTATTGCTTAGAACTTTGTTGGTGGAAATAAAAAGACTTTTTTACAAGATACATTTGAACATAATAACATTGATTAACGAAATGTTTTTAGATAGTCCAGATGAAACATACGAAGAACTTACTATAGACGACTTACCGTTACCATGTGATCTTGAGTATAGATGTAAAGTTACAGTATTCCAAGATTTATGGAGAAAAGGCTTCTATCTAACGTCGGGAGAAAAGTTTGGTTGTGATTATCTGGCGTACGAGAAGAAGCCAGGAGAAGAACATTCCAAATTTATGGTTTATTGTAAGCGGACGGAGGAAAACATATTACCCATGGATATCTTGTCTCTCTCGCGGGTTGCTAATCAAGTCAAGAAGGTAGTGTTGTTAGCTGTTGTTTCTGAAACGTCTGTTGCGCCATCGTATGTTGAAATGAATTGGTGGAAAGGAGATGAATAAACTTGTTAAATTTGGCGTTTTTTAGTAGATTTTAATTCGTCAAGCGCAATATTGATACCTTGAATTTGTTTTTTTTATTTTGATACTTTGAATTTGTTTTTTGATGCCGCTTAAATATGTGATGATGTTTAACAAATTATTTTTTTAGGTTTATATTGCTTTATATTTGGACGTATAGTTTAGGTTATGGTAAGTCTTTCATTGATTATTTTTGCTGAGGTTGTCGATAAAATGCTTTTAATTTATTTTTTAGCTGTTTTTCTCATTCTTTAAGTCGCTGGTTGGGAGAGATGTTGTTGTGGAGCTTAAAAATGATCTCACGTAAGCCGTTTACTTAAATACTATACTTAAAAGGTCATTTTAATATCTTTCCTGATTTTGAAGTTTTACTTTTTTCTACCATTATATTTAGACTGTTTCTAAGTTTATTTACTTATGACTTTGTCTTTACTACCAAAACTTTTAGTATCTGCGGAACCTTGCACTCAGTCGATCAGTACCTCAATGTCAAATTGATTGATATCACAGTACAGGATCAAGAAAGATTTCCCCACATGATCTCGGTTAAGAATTGTTTTGTCAGAGGATCAGTCGTACGGTACATTCATCTGCCTACAGAAGGCGTCGACACCAATCTACTACAAGATGCTACTCGAAAAGAAATCTTACAAAGTCGTCAGCAGGCTAAGTAATCTCGTAATTTAATTATTTTCACGTTTCAATAAATTTTACATACTTTATATGCGGCGATAGAGTAACTTACTGGATATATATATATGTATACACAATGTGCATATACGAAGATAAAAGGAATGACAACAATTACATAGTGGATATATAAAAGTTAATGTTTGACAATGAATGTTACATGTTGAAGGGAAAGAGTGGTCAATTGACGGAAATAATACTTTTTGCATTAGTTTTATGTTGGTTTATATTGTTTTTGTCTGTTTTTAGTCTTTAAATGTTTTATATCTATCTATACGGTTTATTATTATGTTTTTTAGAACATTTAATGTTATAGTTATTATTTGTATGATTTGACACTAATGATGCTATGGGTGACTATTTTTACAACTATACAGAACTGCACTGTAATGAGATTGCTCCCCCTTGATCTAATCCAATAGTTTGCAATTTCCGTCTTGGCCGGAAGCAGTAACAAGTAGTCGGCTCAAGAGTGCTTTTACTTTGTCTTGACACAATCACCATGAACATTTGTTGTCATGGATTCTTTTATTAGTCCAGCTCCTCGCGTTTCGTTTTAATCGTTGTTCGCTTCGAGGAAAGACGTATATTATACTAGGTTCACGTCCCCTAAGGCGATATATCATAATATTCGAGCACAAAATAGGGTTTTATTCGTGTTATTGTTTCGGATTGTTGTCATATTGAATTGAGTGCTGTCTCTATTCGCCATTTATCAAATTATGTTACAGTAGGCGGGCGGGTGAATTTATGGTGACAAATAGGGAAGGGATGGGGAATTGTAGGTTTTTTGAATGAATTGATATATTTGTAGTAATACATGATGTAAAATATATTTATTAGGTGTTTTTTAGAAGTGATGTTCTTTGGATGCTGCAGTATATTATTTTACATAATGTGTTCACTTCATTGCCATTCATTTTACATTTGATATTCGCTTTTTACGTGGCAAAACAATTTTTTAAAGTCACTTTTTCTCTAAATGAAAATAATTTTTACCGGCATTTTTACAGTAACCCTTTCTTATTTTTAAAGTTACTGTAAGTTATTAAACCTGTACTTCTTACTCTAAAGTTTTACTATACCACCCACTCTCTATAAACTGCCAACTTGGAAAACATGTTGCAAGTTTTCGTTTTCCGGCTCCAGATGCACACTGTATGAACCCCCGCGTAACAACGCCGTTTTGACGTTTGTTTTCTTTGTTTGTTTACGGCGTGTAATTCGGTTTTGCAGAAGAAAAGAAAGAAAATTGTTGCCGGAGGATAAGAGCCATGACCTCGGTGAAGTGAGGTGTAAAGTGCGACGGTGACATGGTGAGTGACGGAATTCTAGCTCGGATTCTGAAGGAGAAAATGTTGCCACTTTGGCAAGGTTATTAAGTTTAAAATTTAAGGGCGGGGAGGATCAAGTTACCGTATGAATAGCTGCCACGGGCGTTGCAAGGCTGTTTTTAATGGGTAGGAAGTGGGTAAAAGAAAGGGGGTTATAAAGAAATTTGGAAAAACTTTTTTTTTTGTAAAATTATACTCCTTTTTAGCGCCATTTTAAAATACTTTTTGTTATCTGCACTTTTAAAACAGATTTTACAAAAAAAGTAAAGATTCTGAAGTAAGGGAGGATCCGATGACATTTTACTCTGGGAAAGTATTCGAATACCTTGGGGCCGTTTCTGACTTCGAAAGTACTTTAATTCCAAACTTTTGCTCTAACTAGTGGTGGGAACGGGATTTTAATAAATATGAATAGTAAATTGGGGACAATTTTTGGGCCGTGAGAGATAACAATAATATTACTCCAAGTTTTATTAGTTTTTGATGTGTTTCCAATGGGTTCATAAAACAATGTCCATATTGTATTGTCACATATCGTATATGTAAATAGATTACATTTTTTATTTTCCAAAGATGTATTTACGTGTATGAATCTTTGTATCTTCTTGCAAATCCTCGGGATGTCAGACATTTGCCCATCCGTAAACCTCTTCATCGTCGTATCAAGATTGTTGTTTACCGTGTGAATCTGAAGCATTCCTCATCTCATAATCGTGTTAGTCCAGCTATTGTTCGTTCTCACAAATAATATTTGTAATCATAACAAATCGAGCGTTCTCTAATGTGCAATCAAACGTGCTGTCTGAAAACTTGTTATATTGAGATGTTGTTGTAGTGATATGACATATCTTAAGACAAAACTTTACAATAAGACGGTTGCAATATATTAGTTCAGTTCAAAGTTGCTACTTTGTTTTCTTACCATTATGGTATAACGCAGTAACTGCCAATTACAATATGTTAGCTTTCAAAATAACCTTTCGAAACCTTGTGTAAACCTTGTTTTAGTACTTTTTCTGTGTCGTGTTCCGGCGTCACCTTAATAATTATCCAGTCGTCGTTCCCGATTTAGGCCGTCTGCCAAACACACGCACACATTCTGACTTCTCCATCTTTTCACAACTTGGTCGGGGCCAAGTTGTCTTTGTTTGAGTGTTAATTTCCTGAGGTTCTTCACACTTGCCGCACGTGCTGATTTAGTCGTTTAATTAATATTTTATGTTCAGACACATTAACATATTAACTGCTGTAAGATACGTGACTTTAACAGAGTTAATGGTTACTGTGACTTTTAGCTTTATATGGTACTTGAGATTGAAGAATAGATAAATTTGTATTTTAACTTCAAGTTTGTCATCTTTGAGTATTGTTTGATGTATAATTAGTGAATTACCGTATTGCAATATAAAACTTTTCATCGTACTGTAACACTATTGTCATGTTTATCTATATTCACTTATAATGTTTTATACTAATACTCTTTATGACAAGTCTATAATACAGTACATTTCCAGAGCTCGGAAGTTGCGGTAGATCGACATGACTTGGCAGAACTGCGACTGGTCGATATCACCTTACCAACGCCCATGAGGTTGCTGCCAGGCCTGGAATCGCCGTTAATTTCCGCCGTCAAATTGGCGTTGTTTATGAGTAGGTGGTGATATTTGAGTAGAGGCATTAATTATGCAGGAACTTTGTTTACATACACACGATATTTACAACTTTTATTGGATTCGTAATGTCGGGGGTCTTTTTGCAATGATCAAACAACATTTTTTGTAGAATAATTGTATATTTTGGGTGAATATTGGTCAAAAAGTAATGGGAAAGCCAAAGTTAATTATCATTGCCAAAAAAAACTTCTTCTTTGACTTAAAACGTTATTCTAATATAAACTATGATCATATAAGATTATACAAAGAATGGCTGTAATGCCATTCCTTTCCAGTGGTCCACTCGCCTTCTGGTCTGGCCTGTGTGAAGAGTTGCTCCAATGCCCTGAGGGGGTCATTTGTCTCCATTGTGGGCCAATCTGAAGATGTGGATACGCGGTTACTGGCCCCGTTTCATGCCATTATCACCAAGAGCCGAACCAATTCTGTCGCCAAACGAAAGCTGGCATGGGTCTGTCAGTAAGTGATTGATGTGCAACATTAACAAGTTTCGGGGTAGTGAACTAACTTAAAACAACGTGGTAAAGCTTTGTGATATCATTGTATTTTAGTCATATGGTACTAAAAATCATTTTAAATTTTCAGTTCAATGCGCAAATTTGAATATTGTCTGTCATCATGTTCAGAGTCCAGAGCCAAGTCCTTACAATTGATAAAAGTGGGTCAATGGTACACTATTTGTGATGCTAGCAAGACATATCCTAAAAGTAAGACCTTTTTCTACTTTTTTTTTAAATTTAAATGCACTTTAATTAAATTGATGCAGAAATAATGGCGCGTATCGGTTGTTAATTGGCGTTTCAAATGTTTCTTCTTATGACTTTTTGAATTTTTAAAACTTGAAAATGAAATTTTTGAGGTTTTCACTTTGAAATTTAAAAACTACGAATTTAAGAATAATTCAGAGAGAATTCGTTTTAGGTTTTGTAGATTTCATTGGCTGTGAGAAGCGACATCACGATGAAGTGAGTAAAATGTGTCCACATCTTGACGTGTCCTTGACTGACACTCTCAACTCCTTTTGCAGGTACTTTCTTTACAAGACAATTTTAATCGGAATATTTCAAAAACTCAAATTTTAGCATTTCTATGTGTTCAAAAAGTTTACAGAACTATCTTTTATGACAAACAAAGCTTATACAAGTAAATCTTTAATTTAAAAAACATTTTTTGTTTATTTAAATTTTTTAATCATTAAAAACACTTTTAAATTCCTCACATTTCTTCTCAATGATCTCATTAACCTTTGTATCAAAATACCAAAGCGAATTAAAATTAGCCTGAATTGAAACCTAACTACGCTGACATACTTTACTTTTGAGTTTTACACTATTGCTCTTTGCGAATACGAAATGAAATAGAACAAAAATCAAACATAAGTTATATTATACTTTCAAACTCTGCAAAAAATAGAAGTTCACGTAAATTACTGTAATTTTTAGGAAAATGAACGATCATAGTGAATGTTATGCCAAAGTCAACTTCAAGTGTGAATCTGCTAATGCTACTAACGTATGTTTAACTATGAAGATACGCTTTTTACAATGACATATGATACACTAAACTCCATATTATAACCACAACTATGTAGCGTATATATATAATATAACTATGTAATCTATATAAGAGTCAATTGTGATTTTATAGATATGGAAGATTGTGAACAACGCGATTCAAGAATCCTACTACAAAATCCTGGACGTATCAAGCAAAGATGCACATCTACCTCCCGAATGCGAGTGGGCTATGAGGAACATAGCACTAACAACAACAACCAAATCAACATCCCTCCTATCTACACCTTCTACCACACCCACAACTACGGTAACCTCAACACAAGTACACGAGTTTACTGTAGATTACTGGCAAGATGTGGATCAGTCACATTTGTACGTATACGAACCACGCTCGACTACAGGAGTTACTACGGAGTCACCTACCATGATGCCTATCTACGCCAATCATTCGCCTCAAAATGCCTCTGGCCAAAAGCCTACTACTGCCATGTGTGTTATCTTACTGTGTATCATATTTTTGAGTTCATTTTGGTAAACGTATCATTTTATATTGTATTGCGTAGTTGTACTGTATTTTAAATTAAAAAATTAAATTTTTATATACTATATTTCATGAAAAACGCGCAATTTACAGGACATACTACTGATTACCCAAGTTTTCAAACCTTTTACTTCTCTTCTGTGCTCAAGAATATCTAAACCAATATGAATTTATTATATTTTATTACCTCAAACACTTAAAATGCACTTTTAAATAACTTTTACTGTTTCTTAGCTTTAGTTGAGACCGTAAAGTACAGGTGGATACGGTAAGAGAACGATACCACCGTCCAGATAGAGAACAACGAGATGCCCACCCAATGAGATCCACTCCAGTCTCGTTCGTACGCGTACTGGGACCAGATTTGGGCCGTTAAGATGAAGAAACAACAAACGGCACGAGCCTCGGCAGCCAACGACCGGTCGCTGAGGTCCTTCCAATGCAGGGCGTGAGTACTCAGGATGTAAGAAGATACGAAGAAGACGCCCATGAAGCGACCACAGATCGCGTGAGTCTCGTCCATCTCGATATTCACCTAAAATGGGTCACATTTACTTCGCAGGATTACTTTTTCAATTCGAAGGAATAATAATTCACTATAAGGGACAATGTGGTCAAGAAGAACATATAAATTTTAAAAAAGTATACAAAGTTTTGAATAAATGGCCATCTAATACTCAAACAAATAAAAACTTTATCAAAAACATACCTGACGGTGAAGGAGCCAGTGTGGACAAGCGATCCAAGCGGTTCCAATGGCTACAGAAGCGAGAGAATCCAGATTATACAAAAAGTTTCCAAACCACTTTTCCTTATAGAATCTGTCTCCCATTGGCCATCCTGTAGCTACTAGTGTGACGAAACAGAGAGCGATACATGTGAATCCGAAGTAAATCACTGCTTTGACAAACTGAAACACAAAAATAACAATTTTAATTGCCTATTGTTACCTATAAAGCATAAAACAACAAAGCTATCCACTTTTGATCGTATAACTTTGATTTAATTATTCAAACAAATTTTTGCTCTAGAACTTAGAATTCTAAACCAAAAATTTTGACATAACACGCTTACATCAGGATGCAGAAGTTTTGGGAACGCTGATCGAGCATGGAATACCATCAACAAGGTCAATGCCCATGCCAATATACGCACTAGGTAACATGATGTTCGTGTTTCACGACTGCGTGTACGGAACTTCAGGAACCACGCTGACGATAGAATCTGACCTCCCACACATCTGATCAGATGCCAGTGCACTCCGTCTGTTTGTTTTTGCTGAAAGTAAAGTGTCGAAAAGGGTATTTCCATATTAAAGTAAGTTTTTCTTCGATTAACTCTCAAAATTCGAAAATTTATATTAGCATAAAACAGTTTTTGAAATGTGCCATCTGCAAACTGTGAACAAGTTCGTTGATTTTACGTATTTTCTACTATAATTACGTATCTTCCAAAATCGTATGTTTCAGTTAAAGAAAGTAAAACCTTTCTTTTGTAAAAAGAATCTCTCAAGAATTCCCCATAAATCAAATAAATGTTTCAAAACGCCAACCTAACCATCATCTAAAACAATATCCGATAACAAACTCACAAAAACAAAGTCTCCAACGCGGTCGGGCGCCAGAAACAGGCCGGCTCCAATCGTTGTGGCGGCCAGAAAATCGAAATACGAAAACAGACTGCCCCACAACGACATGTTGACTATGGAGAAGATGGGAAAGTGTGCGCGGGGTAGCCGGAGCGGTCTGGAGAAGAAAAAAGAAGTAACCTTGAACTGTAAAAGAGGACAAGACTCGCCACCAACGTTCGAATGATATTATCTCAATTATCGGCTTTAAGACGGTCCGAATATTACAATAGACAAGTAGAATAAACAAGTGGGTGCAGATTCCGCCCTTTATATATCTGGTTTATTCTTCAAACAAAACAAAATAAGGCACAATCTTCAACGTTTCATAAAAAGGATAATATTCTGTATAAGAAGATCCATCTGTAGTATTAAGACCACTAGTCAGATCTAAAGAAGACAATCCCTGGTGAACAGATTAATCTCTAGTATAATATTGCTATTTTAGATTAACCTTGTGTATAAACGACTAGATATTAGAATGCTACCAAATACTACAAAATTTAAATTTAAAAAGTTGAGAAATTGCAAAGTTGAGCAAACATCATATTATTCTTCGTTCAGTGCCTTCTCGATCTGCTTCTGGATGTTCTCGAAGGCGTCTTTGCCAGCGTAGTCAATGGCTCCACGGTCCCAGTCTTCGTAGCGACGTTCCCATTTGCTTTCGTCCGATGATGACTATAAATAGGTAGGTTAATACAGTTATTTACCTGCCTGAAAGTTCACAAAACACTAAAAAACGCGTTGAACATTTTGTAAACTTCCAAGAAAGTATATGTCATTTCATATACAACAACATACCACCATATACACATCAATCCCAAACCTCAATAATTTCACAGCAAAAACAATAATTTTTTTAAAAATGACCCAATTACACAACAACTGCATTACTGTACCACACCAAAAGCTGTTCTATCTACTACAACATCAAACCCAATCGAAAAACAGAAAAGCACCGTAGAAGAAGTGTCGACAGAAGAAATGGAGCTACTGGAAGGGCATTTTCGGAGTGTTGCCGTGGGCTCGGTTTCCTATAAAGACAGGAAGTTTGGTTGGAAAAGAACAGGAAATATTACCCCATTAAGGTCAAGTACAACATCGGTACTGCCACTTTCAACAACATATGTTTCTTTTTCAGGCCAACTATCCTGTAGAATATCGTGCAATTCATGACTCGGAGCTTCGTAAAACTGCAAGTCTTTGTCTTCATTATGATGATCTTCATGATGATAACCATGATCTACATTGTCTTCATGATGAAACGTTTCCACAGTATCATAAAAAGGCTGAGATTCATTGTCATATTGTTGCTCATGATGATGGTATGGCTCTTCGTGATAATGAGAAGGTTGTTCGTAATGTTGTTCATGATGATATTCTACATAACTTGGCTCGTAATGCTCTTCATGATGCTCAACGTAACTTGGTTGAAGATGTTGCTTTTCATGATGCACATGCGGTTGTGGATCATGGTAATGTTGTTCAGCATGCTCAGGCTGATACTGTTGTTGTTCATGGTGATGAGTACTACCTTGATCATGACCATGATGTTGTTCTTGAGGATGGTGTTGTTGATGATGTTCTTCATGATGCTTCTCGTGATGTCGCTTCTTGTGTCGCCTTCTGTGGTCTTTGTAGAGCGGGGGTCGTGGAGGAGGAAACCCGCTACCGTAACGCTTAAGACCTTCGTTAAAACAGAAAAAACAAAAACGGACAAAGGAGGGGGACAAAAGGGTAACAGAAACAGCCAGCCACACTTACTACGCCCTAACACAACACCAAAACATATACACGACACGAAACACACCAAAATGTTAATAAGTTACCCTAAGCGGTATTGCTTCAAGCTGGTTAGTCGAGTGAGTTTCGTTAAATTCGGGGAGAGTCACATCACCGAAACCTACTGCAAGATGAGCTGGGAGAGATTCCTCAACCTTGTCGTGGTACAACTTCTGCCACAGCGCCAGATGCTCGGAGGCGTGGGTCTGGGCACCAAACTGATGCCAAGGCTTGCGGGCGCCCAAGAAGTGGACGATCTTAATTTCTGATGCTAACCTGAAATAACATTGTCTTAAAGACGAAAAAACGCCTATACAAAAGTCAAAGTTACATATTTTACTACGCTATAAAACGTCAAAGACATGAAACTACAACGTCATAGCTAAAGCTTCTTTTTATACATTTAAAAACCATATTATTCTAAACTTACTTCTTGAAAGCGGCGGCGTAACTGTAGATAGCACCTGAAGTGACATTGTAAACAAAGGGTAATCTATGAGCTGAGCTCCAGTCTCTCCACCCAGCGAAGAACTGATTCAAAAGACCTTGATCTCCACCATCGAAAGTACCATGCTCCACTCCGAACTGCACCAACTTGTCGTATGTCTCTTGTGAAGGTACGAAAACAAAAACTCCAGAGTTGAAGTAGTCTGGCCATCCAATGTCGGCAGCAGCGGCCAGTTCTGGGCGGTCGAACAGTTCGTCAGAGTTGTTAATAACCAGAGTGTCAGCGTCCAGGAATACAGCCTTCGTATATTGAGTAAGCCTCCAGCAATGTAGCTTCGTGAACGTCACTCCCAAGTCAGGTCGGCCAATTAGGGAGAGGTTGGCAGCATCGTTACTGTCCAAAACATCGACCAATGTACTGTCGTCGAAGGTCCTTTGGAGCTTCTCTCTGAAACAATAAGCTTATACTTTTCGACCACAAGAAAACAAAAGATGATTTAAAAGTAACAAAAAAGCAGTAAACATACCTAACTTCAGCTGAAACTCCATTAGTGTACAATATGTGGAGCTTGTGTTGAGTATTGGCGGCTCGGAGGGATTGGGCTAGTACGAGTGCTCCTACAGCGTAACCATCATTCGTGGCAAGAGTTACCCAGGCAGTTGACATTGTGGTCTTCTACCTACAATTTAACATGATTAATAAAGGTACAGAAAACGTGATCAATTACCTAAACATCACGATTAAACAACATTAATATATTACAAATGCCGTCATTTTACCAAAAAACACCATAAAGATGATGAATTTATATCTAAAACAACATCAAATTATCGCTTTACCTACAAAACCCATCCAAATTACAAATGTTGTACCTAAAATAATGTTTCGAAACACACAAAACTCGTTAATTCTCGAAGAAATGGCAACGAAGTTTAGGCCAAACTTTTAAAAGTTTGAGATGGATCACCCTCTGTTCGCGAATCACATGAAAACTCACAATTTTGAAACAAAAAGGCTTGAACAATAAGATTGTTAGCTGTGCACGGCCATAAAACCCCCCAAAAACACGAGATTCTTCACAAACCCGGCTTTAAACATAAAATATCGCAATTACTGTCTATGTTAATATCAAAAGTGTATTATAATATGCAAAACTGATCTAAAGCAATATAACGAACAGGCAATTAGGCCGTGATTTTCGTTGTTTCGCCTCTGGGTTCGATCTCCAAAAAACTCGGAAAAATTATTTTTGGCCAATAGAGAGACATTTTATACGATGGAACGTGCCCAAAGAAAGTACGCCGAAACGGCCGAAAAAGTAAGGAAGTACGTGATAGTTGTTTAATGCAATACGACGTCAAATGTTTCAGCTTTTTATCAATGTCCCGCAGAAAACGTGATAAAATAATGTAGAAATACCAAAAAACTACTATTATCAACTGATATACTGATATACACCAACAATGTATAAATTAATATTTATTCGTCAGATTTAGGTAGGCAATGAATGAAATGTTGTTAGACCTGTCAATTGCATTAGGAATGAATCAATTATCTGGGTTAACGCTCCAAAAATATACCTTTACAATGTTAGTTACAGTGTAAAACATTAATCTTCATGTGACAATGATAAAACTCAACTTATTAAAACTTGTACTATAATCACTCAAAACCCAGCTCAAAGTAGTATAACATAAATGACTGTCAAAAATGCAAAAAAAAACGAAAAGTTAAGAGAAAGCCGCAAATCGAAGGCTTCTCTATGATAATATTGAAAGACAACAAAAGAGTAAACATAAACAATCGCTTATCATTATCACTGGTCTTTGGAACACTCATTGCATTAGACTGTCCACGTTTCGTCAGTTTTGCGTAGTAAAGTAGCTATTTCAGAAACATGTGCATCGATATACCTTGGCGGTGAAACTTTTTATTACTTTGTCTTTTTATTGTAATGTAAGATACTTTAATGTAGCTTGCAACTTTTTTGTTATTAGTTCCTGCATTATCACTTGAAGAGTGCGTTCTGATAAAAAAAGAAGAATTTGTATGTAATAAAGAGAACACACTGAGCTGTCAGTTTACAGTAGCAATAGAAATAAGAGTACCAAACATGAAAAGCTCTTACTTTTCGAAATTTTACGAAATATATAACTACTGTATGTTGTTACTCATGCCTTTTAAGGTCTAGATGGCCAACTATTGCACAATGCCATTCTTTTTTCAATTTTTTTGAAATTGTGTTAGTCATCACTTCCGAAACAGATGTCATTAATCACTGACGCATGGTTAAAAGTCATACATCAAATGATTGAGGTACATTGTTTACATATTATCTGTCAAACTCACCTCCGCAATCATAGTTTAGGTCATTTAGATGTTGTTACTCATTCAACTTGCCTTGGTTTACTAATTATTTATGTTTTAAATACTTTTATTACATTTATCTTCAATTTCATTACTAAACCTGACTGTAATTTAACAATATTTGTAGTAAAACTCTTCACAAACTCAAGATGACTCCCCAATGCATAACAATATTCGTCACATAGTAACAAGGACCTTTGTTATTACCGAGCCATGCCGTATACTTGTAAACTTCTAAAAATACCTCGGTGTGAGTCAAAACAAGCAACACGTGTAACCCCTGAGGGCCGCTAATCTGTCTGTTTTTTATAATGGACAAGGTCCGAACGGTCCTCGCTCCCAAACTGCCCGCCTTTTGCGCTGAGCGCGTCCACACCACCCAGAGAGGGGCGTTCGATTCGTGTATCCCATCCCTGTAACCCCCACCCTCCCTCCGCCCTTTACCCCGTCCCCTGCACTGCCAGCCGTCGCTCGACGCCTTTGCTCTGCCATTCACTGATCGGGCGGAGGGCCTGGATGTGACTGGGGCGGAATTAGAATAATATATTAAACTATGACATTCGGTTATAGATCTAACTTTGAATATAGTTAAGAGTTAGCTCTATAACATTGTAGTTTTAACTGCTTTTATTTGTTATCTTAACTATTCGTGAGCTAAAACCTATAATAATTTAAGTGAGAGCTCAGCGTGTGTGACCGAGGTGCTGCTTACTATGGTCATCACCGGGTTTACATTCGCTGAAATCTTTCTAAATTTTGAAAACGGTAATGTTTTGATTATTTCGTATTCTTCAAGTTCCATCATGTTTTTTTATTTGCCAATTTTTTATTGTTATATTATTATTACTACTACAATTCAATTACCATATGATTGTTATCACAGTTTAAGACTGACTAACTCCCATATTTTAACCTACTTTTATATTGTAATGTTTACTTTTGATTACACTGCAGTTGAAATACTGTTAATCTAACTAAGTTTCCAAATCAACAGGAGTACTGTAATTTCTATTGTGTAGAAAGTTGACAAAGAGTTGTAGCGCTTCTCGTGGTTTCTCGTAGGCAGACGCCACGAAGTGTCCGGCTCCGTTGACGGTTACTAGGTCAATACCTGAAAGTACATTCGAATACTCTTTTCAAAAGTGCATAACGTGCTGTCCTTCGTATTTGCACAGACGATAAAATGGCTACAGTAATCCTTCAAAATGCAAGAGTTTTAATGAGAAAGATACTGTTTTGGATACCTCCTTGTGTAATATAATTCGAATTTTCGACTAATTTTACATAACTTTTTGACCTTTTCTGAATAAATTATCAAATAATGGTTTAAAAAACTAATTATAAAAGAATTTAGATGTATTTCGAGACTTTCTGACCTTGTTCTCACTTAAAATAGCCCTTATTTCTCCCCAAATAACCCAACTTTCCAGACAAAAAACTAAAAAAAGCAGTGTTTGTTAACAATTAACAGACGTCGTTGACCACCTTGCAGCTTTTAATGGATAATTTGCAGGAAAAACTTTGGTTTTCTTATTATTTTCGAGTGGTAACAAAAACAGAGGTGGTACGAGGCGGGATGGAATCACAGTGTTTTTTTGTGGAGCGCGGAACGATGGGGTCGAGAGAGGGACGAGCCGTGCCGTGCGGTTCCCGGGACCGGCGTTCCCTGTTTTGTTTTTTTGGGGGGGGGGGCACTACTGACAAATAATTACGATGGGGAGGGAGGGGGGCTGGTCACTCGTTTGCAAGTTATGTTATAATAACAGTTAGTGGGGTCAGACAGGAGATAAAAAGTGAAAAGACATGATTAATTCTATTTGAAAATAACGGGGTTTTAAAATGTATTTGCTTCGTCTTTATCAAGTTTTAAATTATTTTGATAAAGTTTATCTTAAATCGAGTAAAATTTAAATTTTTCTATTGCCTTTTCATGGCTAAACGTACCCTTAAGCGATGTCCAGACGCCAGCAGTCGTCGGCACTCGATTATTTAGTTTCCAATTCGATCTTTTGATAAAATCTACCCCCAATTGATTTATAAACTTCAAATTATGAACATGCGTACAAACTGAATCCATATCCCCATTGAACAAAGTGATCCGTTTACCAGCTGATATCAGGCGTCGTATGAACGGCGACATATCTTCGTATTGTACTACGTAATCTTCTTCTATTGGTCGACTAAATTCAAAATAATATTAAAATGATGTAAATCACAATAAAATTATTTAAAAAAATAACTTGCAAAATATTTAACATTGCCTTACAAAATTGTAAATTTAAGCTACCTGCATGATGAAAAGACTTGATTCACATGAATAACATCTTGTACATCCCTTCGATTCAAATAGGGGACATATTCGTTTTCGTGATGACAGTTCTTCAATGCCATCTTCTAAAAACAATTTAAAAATACCTACACTCAAAAAATTTGAATCAAAATAAAAATTAGGCTTTCATTAGTCCACATACTAAACACCTTACCTTTGACGCCTTCCGTCGATGAGAAAAAGCGACAGTCTTGAAGTCACTGTACTCTACATTGACAGTAACTTCATCGTCTGGATAGCATACGTAGTCTAGCAAATACGGATCTAATCCAGACCAAAAGTTGGATTCATCAAGTGACTCCACAAGGCTTTTGCATGCTTCAGATCCAGAAGTCGAAATCTGATGCCAATCACAAGTAATTAATGACTTCCCAGGACAACAAGTGTTTATGGCCTTCTGAATTTCTCTAAAAGTGTTGTTAATAAAAAATAAGGATTTAAATAATATTTTGAGTTTAAAAATGTAACAGAACTAAAAATTGTAGATGAAAACATACTGCTCAGCTACTAAACCATGGTAAAAGTTGAATGGAATCTGAGAATTGAATCGGAGCTTCTCGTTCATACATCCATTACCTATTAAGATGCCCTAAAATTATAAAATGTTATTAAAATTCCTTTTATTTTTGAATTCACTTTGGCTAGAAGGTAATTCTTCCACAAAATAATAATTTGGATCACAATCTTTCAGTTGTCACGAAATGCCACAAGTTTATTGCCTACAACGAAGTGTCAAAACAAAATTTTGTCAAAATTATCTTTTTTCCTTGTTTTATTTCTCTGAACTGAACCTTACTTTGAAGTTGGAGAACTGTTCCTTTTCTTTAATTAGAAGATCCCCCAACATTGGCACGTAAGTTCCACCGTAACTTTCTCCAGCCAGGTAAAAGTCGGTCGATTTCAATTCTGGAAACTTTTCGAAAAACTTCAAGAGAGCTTGTTTGTTCTCTCTGGCCACAATCCCGTCAGAAGTGGTCCAGTTGGTAACTTTTAGAACGGAGAACCCAACTCCGGCTGGGGCATCTAAATACAGTATATTAGCATACTGTAGGTGTACTTTTGCTAAAACTATTGCTTACTTTGTTCCAGGCGTACTCATTGTACACCACTTTCCCATCCTTTACTTTATATGGTCCCATTTCAGACATCAGTCCGGCCATCGAACTACATCCTGGTCCACCATTCAGCCTTAAAGTCCAAAGTAAGTGCGAATGTATTATATATAAGACAACATTGGCTTTAATTGTGTGAATGTAATTAACTTTATGCGGCCGTACTGATTAGAGTTTAATAGATTCTGGTTTCTGGGTATATTTGGAAGTTTTATTAAAGGGTTTGGTTTACATTTTTATTATATTTTGTTCTTAAAATAACGAAAAGTTATTGAATAGTGATATAGAAAGTTCAATAAGAACGTAAAAATATCTAACAAACATTAAAAATGGAAAAATAAACAAAAACATAACCTTTAAAACAAAATATAAAGTGACAAGGACCAATAAAAAAGCGTCTAAAATAAATAAAATAAGAAAATGTAATATAAAGTCAAGAAAACGTACCATAAAACAAGTGGCGCTGGACTATTTGAAGCCCCAGTGAGCCAGTAAAACAATTTGTTACCAGAATTTACAGTGAGATAGCCGCTGTATTGTTTAAAGTTGGGTATAAAGTCTAATCCTGGCAACTTGAAGATACGATCCTCCTGCGGCGCAGCTTCTACTGTCACAGTAACAATAAACAAAAGATACAACCACTCTAACCACATTTTACAGTAACTTGATGTTATCTATGTTACAATTGAATACTTTTAGTCTAAAATTAATTTACACTACTGACATTAATCACAAACATTGAATGGTATTTATACACTACTGACCTTATTTGTCTCACAACCACCTTCCACACACAGTTGCACTATCACTGTTACACTCTGATATTAACGATGGAAGTGAGAGGTCCGATAAATGTTTATTCGTTGCATCATAATACGAGAAATGATTTGTTTGACATTAAACTTGATACCCATTAGAGGAGAGCGTCCTGAGGTCGGTGTGATATGAGGGAACTTTCTTCGGCCCCATTGGTCGGGGTCATGTCGTCCACTTTGGTGGTCAGCGGCTGTGACATGGGTGGATTGGGCTGGGAGAACACCGTCCGCGACATACGATGCGAACTCGAACATTGCCGTTTGGATTCGTTGGAACGACGCATGAGTTGGCTGTTGAGGAGGCCTGAAGCGAGGTGGGTAAGCGAGGTATTGGCATTTTTCATGAATGTATAGTTGTGAGATATATATTGTGGCTATTTTTTCTATGATTGTACTTATTGCGCGACAAATTAAACCAATAGGACTAGTTTGTTCATAGATTATACACAATTTAAGAGTTTGTGTTGTTATCAACGTGACCTTTTGTACGTTTAAAAAACTGTTTATTGCAAAAATGAAAATTTGCTGTCTTAATACGTTATACGCTTTTTTAGAGGCAGGTAATTGCTGTTTTTTCTAGTATTATAAAAAGTTGATACCATGTCTTTGCTCAATGATTTATAATTAACCTAAAACTGACGTGTCGTTCTTGGAATAGGTCAAGGAAACTACGTTATTGTACGTCATTCAAAGTACGTTTAAATGCTAGTAGAGTGAAATACAATACAGTATAAAACAAGTATATGTTGACATATATGTGTTGACAAATGTATTATCTAATTACATTTTCCCATCTATATACACAATTTTACATAGTGTAAGCATACGCTGAAATGTTAACAACTTACCGTACAACAGCCAATTAGAAGCCGAGTTCACATACGGTAGAGCATGTATACCATACATAATGTAGATGAACCGCTCTGATGCGTGGATCTGCTCTACTTGAGTCTCGTCCCATGTATATCGGTATAAGTTCAGGTATAACATGGCGATCCAGTAGGGCGACCAACACATGACAAAGAATACTGATATGGCTATTGTGTATCCGGCAACTCGGGCAACTGGCAACTGCAAAATGAATATTCTAGTACTTTTTTGTGATTTTTTTTCGATTGTTCAAATTTTTCTTGTAATTTAGGTCTTCAGAGATACGTACATTGTAAAATACTAATTGTGTATATGTTAGAATGAGATGGTTATGTATGAGACAAACCAATCATTTTGTGATGGATAGAGTAATTGCGTGACTTATACGTCTATTTTTGAGTATCTCACGTGATTACCGAACAGACTACACGGTTTTGTAATTAGATAGATAGAAATTAATAATGTTGTAAAGATAGCAATTTATGTAAACATAAATGTGTAGCAGGCTTACTACTATATTATGGAATACGATTTGAAAGTGGTACATGAACTGTTATAAACCACTATCTTACCTGCGAAGTCTTGATGGACCGTGACCTAACAATCAACCTCCTGACCATGAACGCGTAGAAGAAGAAGATCATGACAACCGGAAAGAAGAAGCCCACCAAGAACATGTACATGATGAACACGGCCAATGGAGTGCCTTCTAGATGATCTACACACTTGTAGATCCTGACTCGTGCCAGCCGGTATGGCTTCTCCAGTAGCACCTCTTTGAGTACGATCTCTTCACTGCTAGCACGAACGATCAGAGGTGACAGTAGTAGGAAGGTGAGAGCACTCAACGCGAACAACTGGTAGAATACAGTACACCGTTTGATCTTCTTGTGGGGGAAACATACTCGTAGGAACCGGTCGAAAGACATGGCGGCTAGCACAAAGGTCGATAGAGCACGGCCGACGTGCTCGAGACAGCGGTATAATTTACAGAAAAAGGTACCTGAAATTACTTTGGATGATATAATGTACTTTTATCTTTTTTTAAAATTTTGAAAAACTTTTTGGGTTATTATGTCTCTTATTTTAGTTAAACATTGTGAAAAAGTGCAAAGATATAATTGGTATATTACTTTCCACTACACGTTTGACTAAACTTCTGCACCAGGACGTGTTTTTGGATGACGGCAGTTTAATTTCCTATATGTCAACTCCTTGAGTGGGTGATTGATGCCCATCAAATTCTTTATTCGAAACTTTTGCAACTTTTTGTCATAAATGTTTCAAGTCTTTAAGTTTACCGACTATTATAACGTGTATATATCTACTATCGTAACATGTTAATATGCGAGGCTAAACCTTGTTGATGTCTGTTTCTAACTACATGCTTTTACTTTTTGGTACTACTTCTAAACACTCTTCTTAACATCTTTTGCAATCAAACCACCATTTTGCAATGTTTTCGAGTTCCGATTTCATAGAAGTGACATCGTATGCTAATTAACCCACCAAACATCCAAAACCCCAACAACTGGTCGACGATGGCCATAGGCAGGGGTATGATACTGGCTAGGTCCACACAGCACAAGAACAGCACGTATATCATGGTATTGTCCATGGTGATTCCAGTGTGCACGTGGCGGATCAGAGTAATCACCGAGATGTTACCACACACACCCACTAGGAACAAGGCCGCGTACAGCTGAAAACATACGATATTGGGGGAATACTGTAAAGTTGTTTATGCTAGAAGAGTAATGTACACCATCAAGTATATTAAAACAGCGAGAGTAAAGACAGACAGCTAATGTAATAATAAGTTGTTTGCTGGATAGGGGCTAGTACAAAACATCCTTTTGCAGTAAATTAACATTGAGGAATAACGGTAAACTAACACTGAGGTAATGTAAAATAGCAAGTAATGTCTGAGTAAGACTAACTCTTCAGTCTAATGAATTTTTGCTATTTACAAAGTTACCGTAGTGTAGTGTTTTTACTCTAGGTAATAACTTTGGCTGCTACGAAAACAATTTTTTGATAAAAGAAAAGTTAATTATGATATTAACTTGAATGTAAAGCATTAATTTTGTTAAAAAGATCTTTTTTACCAGATATCAAAGGAAGTTAATTTAAACTTTGTATCAAACTGTCTATCTCGTTTTGTGTTTTACCATTAATGATCTATGTATAGTATCCTCATAGCCAAAAGTAAAATGCAGTAAGTTTGCAAAACCCATAGTAATTTTCCCATGAATTTCGAACATACCAATGCATAAATAACGACGTGGTTGTTTTCCCAATTCGCCAGCGGCAACATGTCGTACTTGGGGAGGCTAGCGAAGAACTGTTCCTCGCTCATATTGCCCCAGGGCGGCGACTCGTCCACAACGTTGCCGTTGTGGGTACGACTCTGGCCCGGCACCACGGCCATACTCATTGACGCAACACCTTCCATGTCTCAATTGTGCACCATCACTTCCGCTTTCGTCCAACAACTCGGTGCAGCCGGCTGGCTGGAATGATAAAAATGCAAAAAGCGGAAAAAGTATGAAACGGGACAAGTTAATACAATTAGAAGTGGCCAAGAAAGCCCCAAACGCGGCTAATTAACTCGACTAGATTATGGCACGGTAATAACGTGACAAAAGTGTTAAGGGAAGTGACAAAACCGTTAAATAGGTCTGCAAAATAATGTGGAAAAACACGGTAGAGGTTGCAAATGGCAATTGGATTTCAAATCAAATTTGTAAAGTTACAATACTGTAAAAGGCGTGAAAATACTGTAAACAACACGCATGATCAAAAAGAACATAGAACAGCAAAGATCCAAGACAAAATGGCAAAGAAATGCAATTCCACGCACTTTTTGACCAAACTTAAAAACGTGACAGTAATGTAAAGTACCATGCTAACATTGCAAAGTTTGTTATTATACGAAACATTTCCAAGTACAACCATCTCGGTATTTGCATAATTGGTAGAGAGAATATGTTTTGAATTCTGGTCACTTCTCCGAGGACCAGTTCTTCATAAAACACCGGAAACATTCGAAATTCAATTTTCGAAAAACGTGTAATCGTATTAGAATGTATTCGGACATCTTAACCGATTATGAGCTGATCATCTGCACTACGTTACAAGAATTCAAAAAAAGTTTGAGTAATGACGTTTTAAACATTTTAAAACAATTTTAATACAACAGAATGTGAAAAGGTGTAAAACTATATTGTAATTGATAAAAACATGTAGTGTGACGTACTAAAATCTACTTTGGTACTATTTATCGGTTAAAAACAAGTCAAGCACAAGTGTTAACATGATTATAGGACAATGACTGAAATCCATACAGTACAATCAAATAAAACAGTCATATAAAATTGTCAATAATAGGTATTAGTATGGGATATACTATGTAAAATTCTGCTATCAACATACGACGCTACGGATGTTCGTTTTAAACGAATCAAGGCACTAATGCAATAAGCTAATCTTGTTCCCAAGATCTTAACCTTTCTTCCCTTCTCACTTACAAAGACGGTAGCCATACGAAGGCGCAGGACCGTGATCGTGTTATGATGACAACATCCGGTAAATTTACTTTTAGGAGTCGCGGCAAGTAAGGAGGAATCGAGAGGAAACGGAGTCAAAACAACGTCGGACCATAATAAAATAAGTGTCAAGCATTGGAAGGCCCTGGGGCCGACTACGATGTGGATTCACAAAATAAAAAAGACGACGCTAAACCGCGACACTTCCATGCATAATTAGGGAATTATTTTAATGAGAGAAATCAAGGGCTTTAAGTTTTCTCCACTTCAGACGCCAACGATCGGCTACAGTTTTTGAAGGCATGGGTTCGTACGTGTTGGTCATGGTGATTTGTTTAGAAATTACTCTTTAAGATAAAACATAGTTGTAAAGGGTAAAACGATACATACTGTGGCATAACTCTAAGAATAAAATACGTAACAGACCAGTAAAAATTGGGTATACCACAACCTTTACAATGATATATACTAAACCACATGGAAAACATTTATAAGCCCTCCCAAGCCCAAACCTGTACCAGCCCAACTAAAAACAGCCTAGTACAGTCCGGTCCACCCATCTGTCACTCGGCCAGCTCTCCACACCACTTTCTGGTAGCATTTCATTTCTTTCAAAGACATGTTGAATGAATAGAAACCGAGAGTAGAATGTAGAAAAGGATCCGCCCACCAACAAACATTCTTGTCCGAGTTCAAGTTTTCCGGGTAATAATATAACTAAGTACAACATTGTAGCCATATATACGACCACAAATCAGAAAACCCTCTCGAGGCATACTGTACTTTTATTCTACTTTTGGAACGTTCAAAAAGGTCATTTTTGGTTAATATTGGTGCGAAAAATGTAATTATGGTTGGTTTAGATATATATTTTGCCAAAAATATAATAAAAAGAAATAGTACGTATGAGACTATTCCAAGTACTTTTAGACCAAAAAACTTGAAAGAGGTCCAACACCAACAAATTATTACTAACAAGGTAACTCAAAAATCTAAGATAACCTCGTCTGGTTTCCAAAAATTTTGTCAGGAATTGAGTGTTTTTACTGACGGAAACAACAAAACAGACATCAATATAACAGATTATAGTCAACAACAGTAACTGGTTTAACCTATTACCGAGGGCATTGTTTTCCAATTCCCCTAAACATTTCGTGGAATCACTGCAGTAGGATTACAAAACAATCCGACAAAGAAGTTTTTACACTGTGCATTACTTTTAAAAGTGCAAGTTTATTCCTATTGCCATAATTACAGAGTCAGCCCAAAAACATCATTATTTCTCTCCGAACTAGACATGTAATCAAAGTAAACTAAAAATGGCATACTACTGTGACATGCAATCAAACTACAGTAAAAACGGTTTGTACTAATCGTAAATTAAGTATAAAATGTTGTAGTACATGTCAATTAATTATAGTTGTTTTAAAAGCGTTACAATACCATTTGGAAAGCACTATAGCTAATTATTCGTACTAAACTGTTTCGTACTGCATAGTACTGAAAGACAAATACTCAAAAATTAAAAAATAGAGCTATCTTCGGAAACATTAAACTTCACGCTTAAAAGAGCATGCTTCATGCACATAATCTATCACAATACCAAGAGATGGAACATCTAACTTTTATTGTTAACGAACTCGGAAACGAGATCTTTTGTCGAAAACTTGTGAACAGATTCGCCTTTTTCCGCCAGAATTTGCTCGATGTTCCGCTTGCCCTCGAGGTCCGAGAACCAGCCGAGGTTGTCAGCTATGATATGATGGTTCTTACAACCCTCACATTGTACTATCACCACTCCTTCTTCGTAGGACGTTTTCGAGAACTGTTTTGGCCCCTAAAATAAGCTCATTAGCAATATTGTATTCGTTTCTTACGTGCTTTACTACTTAGTAGTCACAGCCATTTACACAGTATCACAGGAATTGTACCTACAATTTTTTAGGACATCTATAGGACAGTACAATAGACAGTGACCAGGTACAGTCAAGTACAAAACAGAAAAATCTTTTGTTTTAAAATACAGACGTTTTTAAACAGCCATTTTATAAGTCACACATCTCTCTATACATAAAAATAACAATTCCGATATGATAAAACATAAACCTTAATTTAACTTACATTCCTTGAGTCACAGACTTTACATGTGTAATATATGGCCATCTTCTTCGTCCCCAACTCCCCCAATGTGTTTGAGTAGAGTCTCGCCAGCTGTGGACGGTTGACGAATTGAACGCCGCGTCGTATTAAATAATTCATTTTGTGTATCTTCGTACCTACACCTCAAAGAATACAGCACTGTAAACAAGTAAAATAATACTGTAAAACGTCTTCTTAGGTTTGTACTGATAACGTCATTCAAAATATTTCCCATACACTTAAACCAACAAAAAAGTCATATTAAGGAGTATAATCTGTTATTCTAAACGTTTCCCATACAAAAAAGTAACTACAAATAATATCTTTCAAACCTCAGTAAAATGTCACACAACATTGTCATCAACATGTTCGCCATTACTCATAAAAGTTTATTACAAATATTCTAGAATCTATATAAATACGACTTTCCGGCTACAAGACAGTAGTAATACCATCGGATTAGGTGTATATTATAGTAAGTAACAATCGTTCTAGAGATCAGATGATACATTTATGTCTACAGTTGAGTCTATTACAACAATATATTGCACTAAACAAACAAGATTGATCTTGAAGACCCGAGCATTAAAGCAAAGTTGTTAGTATCAAACGGGAGCCACGTAGCTGGCAGGGAACAGACCTTGCATCATCCCTTTTCGGCCATAGCACCAGCCAAGGTCGTCTGGGCCGTGAAGTACTTCTAGAACCTCACCTGCAAAAACAAAACAAAAATTTTAAATTAATAATAATAGTTTAATAACAATATTAATAAAAAGCTTGCTCGAATACATTACCTCCTGTCCGAAAATACTCCAAAGGCAAAAACACCCCCACACCAAGTTCTAAATTTAGCTTTTCTAACCAGGAACGAAGTAAAAAGTGTTTTAGTGCAATTTAAAAGCCCCAGAAATGTCATTTAAACCCCTTAGAAGCAGGAAGACATAAAATAAGCGACCAACCTTTGTGTAGGGGAATTTCGTCATCCTCAATTGGCGAATAGTCATATAAAACTTTAGCAGGCCCTCGGGGCATCTGAGTTTCACTTTCATTGGACCCATTGCTATTTCCGCTATCGCTTTGAGCTCGTGGAGAAGGTCGCTGATAAGTGTTAATGATTTCCTGGGCCTGTCGCTTCTCCATGGCCAACATCCCAGTTAATGAGGATCCGAAGCCGGTCTTCTGATGCCTTTGGATGGGCGAGAAAGTGTCACCACAAGCATTCATCAAAGCTCGGTTTGGAGTTGGCATAGGAAAGGGATCAGCAAAAGGCTCTACCCTGATCTCATTGACCGGTTGAATCGGGTCTGTCTTTTCCGATGGACTTGATGACTTTGTTAAGGTCCGGTCCAATGCCGTTACCTCTACTTCAATGCTCTCTGACTTCCGCGTCACATAACTATCAGTTGATGAACAATCAAGACTCCTTGAAGCGTGGAATGAACGAATTGAACTACTCTCGCTTTCCCTCATTTGCACTGTCTAAAACATAACCAATTACAAAAGATATGAAAGTTTAAAAACGATTTACTAATTAACTTGTAAAACAAAATTATCATATAATCTTTAATTGTAATTCAAAAAAGATCGAATTAACAGTACTACGTAGTTACATATTAAAAATAGTTTTTTATAACCTAAGAAATGATTTTAACTTACCTGAGACAACTCAATACTGCTGGACCTATCCATTTTAGGACTGTCACTCAGATCCTTCCTTAGCTTCTTCTGCAGGTGACTTGTCTGAGAAGTTTGTTGTGATAACGTCGATTTCCTGTTTTCTGGATACTTTTGCAACGCTGACTGCCGTTCCAGACTGTGAGCAATGGTCGGGGTGCCTGGGAGCTCATCAGAAGTAATCTTTTGTTTCATCAGAACTACACCACCAGTCTCGTCCTTCTTCTTTGAGCCTTTCGATCCTCCGTTACTCGTAATTTGTCTCATTTCCGGTGTGTATTCCTCGTAAGTTGGGACAATTAGAGAGGAGGCCGTGCCAAAACACCTCGACCACTTCTGGAGATCTGCTTTCACGTCATTATCATTTGTTTCAGTAAACGCTTTGGCCAACTTTTCGTGGATATGTGACAATCTAAAAGTGAAGCTTGAGAACCAACAAATAAACATCATTATTTATCTTTCTCATTGTTAACAGAACCCATATAATTACTTGCCTTCTCAATAAATAAACATAAAAATGTTTTCAGTAATTATAACAACGTTGTCAACAAAAAACACCTAAAACTAAACAGAAACCAGAAAACACTTACTTTGATGGACTAACCACATCAACTAGAATCTGCTGGAATCCAGAGAACATCTCCAGCAAGAACTTGGCCCTTTTCATCTCCATCAATTGACACTTCTCGAAGACAAAGGCCATGTTCTCGCTGTATACAGAAGAATACCCATTCAGTTCATTCAAGGCATTCTTGTATGCCGTCCTCGTCTTCTCCACATCTTCCTCACACTTATTCAACCGTTCCTTCAACTTGTCCGTGCTCTCATTAGCTGTGGACGCATCTCCTTTCATGTTCACCAACTGAATAGCGGTCGACTTCTCTGATCGACAAGCGGTATAATATGCCTTCCGGCAGTTCTCCATTTTGTCGTACAGTTTCTTCCATGGTCGCTGTGCCTAAAATTGAATTTACAATTAATTAAAATACTTTGCTTATACAATCTATTATTTTTAATACAAAAACATAAACTCTCTGTTAAATATTTCATAAAATATTCAAGTAACTTCGGTCGCAGATTGCTTTGCGTTACGTAAGACCAAGATATACGAATTTTCCGAAATTTCGTAACCTGCTTTTCGTTTTCAAAAACAAGAACTTGTGGATAGAAAAACTCGCAAAACGATAAGAATTTTACATCTTTACCAAAAAAATTGAAAATCATTTTACAAAACCTTTAAAAAATTATCAAAATTTACCTTTTCGAACTCTTCCTCTAACTCTCTGGCCTCTTTGAATCCTCGAATCGTTGAATGATGATAATTCTCCTTTCGAAACAGCTGAATCGTCTTTAAAAGTTCATCTTGGGACCGTTCCCTAATTTCCAAATGAATTTTGGCCAATTCCTTGGACTCGTCCATCAAATTGCACCACATATCTTTCACGATCGACTCCTGTAACATCTGGTGTCCATAATTCAGCCACTTTGCTTGCCACCCTTGTAGAGCTTTGCCGTATTTCTGTTCAATGTCAGCTCGTTCCTTGATCATCTTAGAGTACTCTTCCAGTTGATCAGCTCCATCTCGGATCCGTCTGATGTTCGCCTTGTAGCCCCCAACTTCCCAAAACGCGGCGTCAGCCTTTACAGCCGCCATAACAATAAAGACAGCCGGCTGGTTTCAGAATGAGAATAATTAGCTTCAAAATCCAATCGATTTTCTCCTTGTAGCCCTCCTATTGTAGCCTGAAAACAAAAATAACTAAAAGGAATTGAATATTCTGTTATTCGAATAGCCTCGAACCCAAACCGCTCGCTCGGAAAGAGGTAACCCGATGAGATCGGAGTGTCCGATTTGCGTTAAATCCCCCCAACTTTGTGCGCGATGGCCTCTACCATAAGTTCAGTCAAGATCATACGTTTTGTCGTATGTTCTGAACCATCACTATCAGATCTTCCACATAATTCAAATGAGAGTTTCTATCAAGGAAAGTCCCCGAAAGCGAAATCCATTCAAATCCAAACATTATTCATCCTGCCGTACAAAACGGTAAACAAGATAATCCTTGAGGAGCACCACGGGGTTCCAAAAAGTGAAGAGCGATAAGATACGATCACTTAATGACCCTTCCCGCTTACTATGATCCACAAACAACACTCTGCAATGTGTGGAGAAGAACAAGACGAAGAGTGGATAATTTATTAGTAATATCGTGTCTAATTTTACAAATGGAATCACTCATGAATGAAGGCGACTCACAAGCTTCTTTACGTGAGCTGCTTAAATCAAATGTACCGAAAACAAAAGATTTGGCTAATGTAATAAAATTATTGTTTTCGATTACATTAGTGACTCATATGGTGAAAAACAAATCATATTGCAGAAGGTAATAAGTGACCGAAAAATAATTAAATAGGGTAGTTTTTTGAATAGACATTGCTCTTCCTGAAACCAAGGAAACGGTCAGAGCCTAATAGAAGTTTGAGATCACAGTTTTAAGAAATCAAATCACTTAAGCCAATTCCAGACTTCGAAAGATTGTTCATCCTTACTGAAACAGTTTCTGAAAAATACAACAAAGAAGACTGTCAAAACGACCATAATGACAACGTTAACACAATACCGTCCACAAAGATCTTGAAGAGTGCCCACCGTTCCTTCAAGACTCCAAATTGTACAAAAGCGTTGGTCATTCCGACAAAAGAGCCGTCTCTATTATTCAAACAAATAAGGAAACGAAGAAACATAAACATCTCCTCCGATCACGTGAACAGTAAAAATAGATGACCAACGGTTTTTTCGACCGAGTTTTAGAGCGTTTCGAGCAGATTATCCACCGAATAAACAAAAAACCACTAATTTAAATTCGAATTGTGCGCTTTAACTCGATTCGAACAAAGTGAGACATGTGCCCAATATGACACGGATGAGTCATTAAACAACTTGAAATAACCTTGTACAGACGCTGCAAAATGGTCACTTATTAAAATGAGAAGTACAGTCACTAAAACAATATAAGAAGCCATAAAAAAAGCTCTCGGCTAAAGTCAAGCGTAATATACTACTATCAATAAACAAACATCTGTAATGAACCTTAAAAGGAGAGTTTCGGATTGCATTTTCGAGCTCACTAATTGTATAATGAAAGCTCAATATCATTCACGTTAAAATTCAAACGAAAAGTCATAAATGAACCTAGTCAACAAAGTAACATTCATAACTCACAAAAACCCAGAAACGTATGCAAAACTGACATAACTTGAAACTTTTACTTTTTACCAACATTATTTTAGAATTTCAGGAAAAAACACTCTCCGAAATTTCCCATTTTTTGAAGGAAATTCGGACGCGGGCAGAGCTCTTTAGTGTTTTCGTGGCGAAACTCAAAAAACACGTTCTAAAATTATTTATTTTTCAATAAATTGGAGAAATGAGAAAGTTTTAGCTAACAATCCGTTGTTCTTCATGCTAATATAGAAAGATGAATTATTTGTTAGCATGTCAGCAGTACATAAACGAGATGATAAGGTTGGCAGGGCCCGGAATGAAGGTCTTGCTCATGGACAAAGAGACGGTTCGTATTTTTGATATCTAAAATCTTTAAAAGTTTTTAACGTCTACTGTTAAGTGAGTAAAAAATAATTTCAATGGTGAAATTTAATTTAGTCGTTGTTTTAGACAAGTTTGGTGTCTTGCTCTTTTGCCCAAACGGAAATGATGCAGAAGGAAGTGTATTTGTTTGAACGCATTGATGCCAATTCTATGAGAGAACCTATCCGTTACCTGAAATGTATTGTCTTTGTTCGACCGACACCTGAAAATATACAATTACTTGTCGAAGAACTACGATCTCCAAAATATGTGCAGTATTATATTTGTAGGTTTTACTTTATATCACTGTTTTTTGTATCATAAGCGATTTAAGATTATAAAAAGTTTTTTTTAGATTTTTCAAATATTATATCCAAAGCTGATGTCAAGTTGCTTGCCGAAGCTGATGAACACGAAACAGTGAGTTTAATTTTATTCTTTATGTAGTTTATGTTTAGGTAAGAGAAATCCAAGAATTCTACGCTGATATGATTCCTCTGGCTCCTCATTTAAGTGTTTTGGGTAACTCAAACTGTTATGAAACTGCTTTTAACTTGTCTACTACAACATTCCGTCGATGCATTCATGGACTAGCTAGCTTGTTACTATCCTTCAGAGCAAAGCCCGTGATCCGATATCAACGAACTTCTCGAGATTCTCACAGATTGGCGGAAGATTTGAGTAAACTGATCGTGAGAGAAGATGCTCTGTTTGAATCTTGCAGTGAGAACACGACCTTATTGATATTGGACAGGTCTGAAGATCCCGTTACTCCGCTTCTTAATCAATGGACGTACGAAGCTATGGTGCACGAGTTAATTGGGATTACGAACAACAGAGTTGTGATGCAGTCAAATGAGGACGGTCCTAAGAACTTGGTACTCAGTGCGCAGCATGACGAGTTTTATGCCAAAGTAAGTGTTCTTTCAATTACAGAAAATATTTTCAGGAGGAAAAAGGAACCTTTAAGAACATTGTCTCTTTTGCAAACACTTTCTAATATTTAAAGTTTTTTAGATGAAGTACATGAACTTTGGAGATATTGGACAGAACATCAAGGCCTTAATGAATGATTACCAGAAGAAAGCTCAAACTCATCAACAGCTTGAATCCATAAGTGACATGAAACGATTTGTGGATCAATATCCTCAATTTAAGAAGATCTCAGGTAAATTCTTGTGGTATTTATATTATTTATGTTTTAATTTTTAAAGTAACTTTTAATTGATTTTTAATGCTACAAGCAGGGACGTCGTTTGGGGGGTGAAAAATCAGGTAGCTACCTGTGGACCAAAAAAAAATTTTCGACCTCCCCCCCCCCAGAAAAAAAACCGTAGCGACGTCCCTGGCTACAAGAGCATTTTAGGTACTGTAACAAAACACGTTCAAATTGTTGGAGAACTCAGCCGACTGGTTGCGGCGGAGAATCTTCTTGAGATTTCTGAATTGGAACAAAGTTTGGTAGCGACATCAGATCACTCATCGCATCTGAACCAGCTAAAGGCTTTACTTGAAAGTCCAAAAACTTCGGATTTGGTAGGTACCTTTGTTATAATATTTTTTGGTAACAAAAAATATCGAACTATACTTTCATAAATTACTTTAAAAATTTAGAATGCGTTGCGTTTGGTTATGTTATACCAATTGAGATACGAAAACACCCAAAACTCGATGGAGTACATGTTGAATATGCTGAAGAAACGAGGATGTTCTGCTAAGGAAATCGCTGTGATTCGCACTATCGTTGATTATGCTGGCTTTAGAAAACGTCAGAATGATCTGTTTGGAGATCAAAGTGCCATGGAAATGACCAAGAAGTTCATCAAAGGGTTGAAAGGAGTAGAGAACGTGTTCACTCAACATGAACCTCTCATATGCAGACTGATAGACAACATTGTCAGAGAAAGATTGTCCGAACATAAGTACCCCATGATCGATAGTACAAGACAAGGGTAGGTAACGGTTAGATATATTAGATGTTGCAATAAGTCGGTTTAGATGTTAAATACTTCATACCTTCATATATTTATGTAACAACAAAAATAAACGTAATTTTTTAGAAATCGACCAGAAAATGTGATTGTATTCATGATTGGCGGAGTTACCTACGAAGAGTCAACTGCCGTTCACAATCTCAACTTAAAACGTCTACAGACTTATCATCCTCGCGTTCTGTTGGCTTCGAACTTTGCACACAACACCAAGAGTTATATTGAAGAGCTGACGAAGGTTATGGGTTGAAGCCTGATTAATGCATTATTGCCGGTGATATAATTGCAAAGTCATTTAAATTATTGAAAGATGTATCATATACTTATTTAGTCAACTAAATTATATTGTTAATAATAAAGTATAGAGATGAAAGAATTTAGCATATTGTACTCTAGTAATATCTGTTGGACATGTACAATAGACCAGGCCTGAAAATCGGATCCGACCCGTTGCTGATTTTCTAATATTTCGAGGTTCTTCTTCAATAGGGGTGAGAAAAGGGCCGGGCCCACTTTTTTAGGCCCGGCCCGGGGCCCAACGTTTAGACCCGGCCCGTTTTCAATTTTCTCTCAGGCCGGCCCGGTCAGAAAATTTCAAGGCCCGGCCCGTTTTAAAAAATTTTAAAACTTAAAAAATAAACGGGAATTTGGCTTTGCATTGTTCTTTTAGATCATTTCACGTCGAGCCAAAATCCGCATTGAATTTGTGGCGATTCGTCTTTTCCCCTTTATAAGGCTATCGGAAAAATGTCTGACCGCTCTCTTTTTGGCTGCGTGGAAGCTCTCTCCGTTTTCGGCTGTCTCGTTCGCTTTTTTGTCTGCGCTCTTTCCTTTTTACGCGAATCGAGATCGAACGGATCGCCACAAAATCATGAAATCATTCTCTATATTCTGGCTCGACGTGTTTATGTATCATGGTACCCAATAAAATCAAAAAACATCAACGGGGATTAAAATAAAAAAAATTTAAATTAAAAAATTTTTTTTCGGGCCCGGGCCCAATTTTCAAGCCCGGACCGCGGGCCGGGCCTAACCTTTGGGCCCGGCCCTTTTCAATTTTAGCTCAAGGCCGGGCTTAGACGGCCCGTTTCTCACCCCTATTCTTCAACAACCGCTCTAACATTGCATGGCGTGTGCGTCCTGCAGCGAAAACAAATATAAAACGATGAGAAAATAAAAATAATTTTTCTAAAGATCCGCGACTGGTCGAATTCCGATTTACAAGTTTTAAAGTTAAATTTTACTATTTTAGAAAATGACAACTTTTTTACTTCAACAGTGGAAATCTCGGGTTGGAGGACCTCAAGATCCAAGTATGTTATTTATCTGTTTTCTTGCTTAGATGTTACCAAAGTTAATTTGAGAATAAATATCTAAAATAATATTTTGTATTTTGTTGTTTTAGCTCCTTTTATGTTGGCTCTGGCCAGTGACAAGACTCCATCACAAGAGAAAGAGTTTATTATCAACGCTTTCGATGATTGGGACGTTTTGACTTCAACTTGGTTTGAAGTGGCAGATTACTTGTCTGTGATAGAGAAGTTGGCCGAAGATGGCAAGTTTGGAGAGTGCAGAAGAGCTTTTTTGTTGGCTTCCAAGGTTGCTTATTGTCTTGGCGATTACAACTCAGCACTTCAGTTGGCTTTGAATGCTGGTGAATTGTTCAGTTTGACTCCACGAAAGGCTTCTCAACTTCTGGGGCCTCAAGATGATCTGGTAAGTGTACATTATTATTTTTTTGATTTTTTAGAATTTTGAGAAGGTTTTAGTACTTCTATTAAAGTGTGAATGAAAAGCTGACTTTGTTGCTTGTTAAGATTTGATGTTTTTATCTTTTTTGTTTTAGTACGTGGACAAGATTGTTGAACAAGCGTTGGACGAGTACAAGGTGTCCAGAAGAACTGGAGCTTCAGTTAGTCCAGCTCTTGAGGCTTTAATTAACAGAGTCTTTGAGAAGACATTGGCCAACAAAGAATTCAGATTTGTTATTGGATTGGCTTTGGACACTAGAAGAATCGACATGATGGAGAGAGCTGTTAAGGCTGCTGACGATCAAACGAATGTTCTGACCGAAACTGTTGGCAAGATCTTGGAATCACAATTGGACAGAAAGTTCAGAGGACAAGCTTTGGATTCTGTGTTCAGGCTATTCTCGGAGATGAAAGAACCAGACTTCGTGAGCATGTGTCAATGTCTGATCAAATTGGAAAAGCCTTCTGATGTTGCTGGAATTCTTAGAAGGTTGATTTCTAACGAGGTATGATATGTTTTTTGTTTTCTGATGTTTTACTGTTAAAAATTTAATAATCTACGATAATGTTTTTTTTTGTTAAAACAGTTTCATATTATTTTTTTAGAAAGGTGAACTTCTTGCTTTTCAAATTGCTTTTGATTTATACGAAAATGCTAGTCAACAATTTATCAAGGAGATTGAAAAAGCCCTGATTCCTGAATCTAAAGGTCCAGCCAAGGTTGAAGAAAGTGGTTCGGCCCCTACAGGAACTGGAACAACTGAAGAATCTTCATCTTCTTCTGAAAGCTCGAGTGCTGAAGCTACTCTTGCTGAGTGAGTTTATTAAGAAAATAATTTTCATTTGAAATGTATTCAATGTTTAAAAAAAAATGTTACCTAAACTTTTAGTGCTGGCTCAATGACTGATCGATTGAAGAGGATTTTGAGAGGTGAAGAAACCATCAAGCATCACATGCAATTCTTGATCAAAAACAATCATACGGATATGCTGATCCTGAAACAAATCAAGGATTCAGTTCGTACTGCTTCTACGCATAATGCTACTGTTATTGCCAACGGGTTAATGCATGTTGGAACTACATGTGATGATTTTTTGAGGGATAACCTTGAATGGATCTCAAAGGCTACCAATTGGAACAAGTTCAACGCTGTGGCTACATTGGGTCTCATTCACAGAGTAAGTTATCATGGAAAGATGTTTATTTGTAGCAATTAAGTTGAAGTAAAATTACGGTTTAAAACTTATTATGGTATTTCAGGGCCACGAATCGAACGCTTTGAAGTTGCTCGACCCTTACCTACCAAAAGGTGAGGTCGACTCTTTTGGATACAAAGAAGGTGGATCTCTCTATGGATTCGGTCTTATTCATGCTAATCACGGGTCAAATGAAGCCATTACCTATTTGAGAGATCAACTTACAAAGGCCCCAACTGCTGCTGTAAGACATGGAGCTTGTCTAGGGTTGGGATTGGCTGCTTTGGCTACACACGACGAGAGCATCTATCAACAACTGAGAGAAAACTTGTATCAAGATGACGCTGTAACCGGAGAGGCTGCTGGAACAGCAATGGGTCTTGTGATGGCTGCATCAATGAACCAACAAGCCTTTAATGACATGAAGACATATGTGACAGAAACTCAACACGACAAGATTCAACGAGGACTAAGAACTGGTATTGCCATGTTGGCTTACGGAAGAATGGAAGAAGCTGAAGCTTGGGCCGAAGAGTTGTTGGAGAACAAGTCTAATGCCATTTTGAGACAAACTGGAGTCTGTATGTTGGCTATGGCTTATGCTGGATCAGGAAAAGCTGATGTTGTCAGAAGACTGTTGGCTAAAGTGGCTGCCGATCCTAACCACGACGTAAAGAGATTCGCTGTTATCGCCGTTGGATTTGTTCTCAGCAAGTAAGTAAAATATTATTAGTTTTAACGTTTTTACATATTTTTAAACAATACTTTTATACATTTATTAGTTTTAATACAGTAGAAAATTTATTTTATGACCGGTAAGCGATGTAGGAAGGCGTTCGTCTAAAAATACGATTATTAGTGTTGAGTCAGAACGATTTAGTAAATAATAATCTAGGAAGTAGTTGTCTGGATAAGCAATGTAATTGTCATAAACATCTTGTGCAAAGTAATTGTATAATTACATGGTAATCCTTACTGTGGGTTAAGTGTGTCCGAATTACGTCGAGCTTTGGGGAAGTGGACACTCAAACGCCTTTGAATAGACGGTTCATCGTGACTGTGCTGAGTTCTGAGCTTTTGTCTTTGTTTTCGGATATCGGTTTTGTTAGGCACACATAATGTGGTTGTTGTGGTTAGGGAATTATTACCATTTAGAGCAGCTACGCTCTCTTTTTGTTGATATGATTTGTCTATACACGACCTATAACATATTTATGAGATGTTTGTGTGATGAAGTATAGTAATAACAAGTTTTATAAAAACTGTTAATATAATGACAAAACTGATTCTATTGGACTTACCATGTCGGGTCAGTTGTGAGATACACTTGGCTTCTGGTATAGTTATTGTCGGATGAGAAACATTTGCACTTGAGAATCTTTATGAACGCTTCTCGGAAACGGCGATTGAATATAGTATAAATAATTGGATTAAGCGTACTGCTTAAGTACCCCAGCCACAGAATAATGGAAGCGATTCGTGTTGGAACTGAGCAAGTGTCTCCACAGAATCCCATCGTGAAATTCATGATGAAAAAGGGCGTCCAGCAAGTAAAGAAACATGTGAAAACGACAGCTAACACTCGACTCGCCTTGTGTTCGTTGGCCAACTCTGTACTGGTCTCTATTTCCTGATTCTTCCTTCTGATCACTTGAAGATGGTTGCGAAGCCGATGGAACTGATGGGTGATTCGAGTAGATCGTCTTTCTACTTTCTTCTTGATTATATCTTGTTGTTGTTCAAGACTCTGGTCGTTGTCAATTTTAAATTGTTCAATTAGGGGGTCGGCTTCATGTTCTTTGTCGGCTCTGTCGGAATCGAAAGCGTGTTTGGACTTTAGTGAATCGGGCCGATTTGTAAAAGATGCTTTTGCTAATGGCGACATCTCCAGGACTTCTTGTCTCTGGTTCCTTCGTTGTGTTCCGTTCACAATTTCCCCATAGACACTCGAATTGGAGCCGCCGATTTGTCTGGAAACAAGTGATTAACATACAAACATTCACATACCTATTTTTGAGGGGTCTTTTCTTGCTTAACACTGTTCGTCTGAGACCTTGGTTGAAGCCGTCCACAGGTTTCATAACTATATTGTTGGCCTGTTTGTTGAGAAATTGGGTTGTTTTTGTGAAAGTCACGGTCATAATTATTAGCGGTATCAAAAAGGCCAATATTGAACCGTAAATCATGTAGTGTTGGCTTCTGATAGTGCACACATTGTCATGTAATACAGTGGTAGGGTCGTGAAGAGCCAGAACAGCCAAAGGGCTTGATATTATTATAGTTCCTATCCAAACAAAGCAAATCTTTATGGCGACAACAGTCCTTGACTTATTGCGGTTTTTAAGTGGTCGGGAGATACCCAAATATCTGTCTAATGAGATAACTGATATGTGAACAATACTCGCAGAGCATAAGAAAACATCCGCATAGGTGTAAACAAAGCATAACCAAAAACTCCATTTCCAAAAGCCTTGTTGGACTTCTACTAAAATAGCTAACGGCATAACCACACAACACACTAACAGGTCAGCCATCGCTAATGATAATAGAAAGTAGTTGGTGACGGTTTGGAGCCGCCGGTCCATTCCTATGGCTATACACACCATCAGGTTTCCGAAGAACCCAATGGCACAAAACAAGGGCAACACGAGCAGGGCTGCTATGTTATGGTTGTTCACTTGGATTGGATCCATAATCACATCCAGTGATGACGTTCAAAGAGTGTGTGGCAGCAAAGTTTGCGGCTTGCCATAATACGAAAGTAATAGGTTCACGAATATTTGGACCTGCAGTCAGATGGGAATAGGCTAAGGCTCACTGCCTTTAAATCACCATTCTTCTTAGCATCAATCAAAAGTTGGCCAGAAAGTATTGTTGTCCTGAAAATGACAAATTTTGGATATTAAAAAGCGGTTTGCACGAGAGAAATGGTTTTCACGCCCAAAAAACATCCCCCTTCGACTCCACTCCTCGAACCCATTGTGAATGAAAAAATACGGAAGATTTGATAAGCGAGGCCTGGCCAGGAAATTACTTGAATATGGAATAAAAAGTGACAAAAAGGGTGACTGTACATCAAAGAACAACAAGTTGCGATGAAAGCAAAAGTTTAAACCTAGTTTCGAGGAGGAAGGGCTTGATCTGTCATCGAAATGTGGTCTCGGGTTTCGTCACGATATTGTGAATGGGAAGCGAAAAGAAGACGTGCTCAATTTTTTTTAACGTTACGGTTGAGCATGAAGGTACGGCGTGTTTTGAAGCCGGGGTAATGTTCATTTCTCGGATTGCTTTGTCTGAACCTACCAAGTCCTTGCGTCTTAAGATTTGGCTCTATTCTATCGTCGGAGGCCGGAACGCTAAGCAACGGACCGGAAAGGCATCGGCCGTCATCAGTGATGCACCTTAAAGAGTTTCTTTGTGTCCGACACTTTACCCACTCGAATTTCGTTTTCAGTCACCTAGGGATGGGGATGGCTACTTTTTACGCTTTTATGTCGGGTAGATTCAGGTATGCGGGGTAAAATGACACACACTGGTCTTAAAATAATATACCGCGTTAGACAACAATAAAAATAACAGTAGCTCTTCAAATAATTTGATTACTTTCAGCGATCCAGAACAATGCCTCAGCTACACGGGAATGCTGGTGGAGCACTTCAACGGACACGTTCGCTACGGTGCCGCAATGGCTTTGGGTTTGGCGTGCGCCGGCACAGGTCATAAGGTAAGAGGAATTATATCCGAAAAGTTTTTTGCAAAGGAAACGAGTAATGGGGAGCCATGAATAAGGGGGTAATAACCACAATGACCAATTGTTATGATGGAACGTTTTTGATGAGTGATAAAGACACATACATTTCGAAAATACATAAAATTCCCATTATTTGGGAATGTGAGCTCGCAATTTGAGGGACCGGGCTGGGCTGGTGATTTGCGGCCAAGCTTCTAAACAGTTTTGCTTGTGGGGAGGGTTAATCTAAGAATTAGTTATTGGCACATTAACTCTACGACCGCCAAAGGCATTTCCTCAGAATGACTTTGAGCCATGAACGAGGGTCTCCATTCATTCTTTTCCACCCCTTGAGACGGATAAATCAATGAAACTGGGCCGCACATAACATAACGCCTGTGATTAGTGGAAATAGCCAATAGCACAATGCCACGCCCATGTACCGATGCCAAGTGTAATGACGGTTATTGGAAGTGGCTGACCTGCACGTAGCACAAATGTAATCCAGAAAACAGTTAATTAAAACCTTTTGATACAAAACCAACCGAAAGGCAGAGCTTGTTGTTTGTGGACTCTGCATGTTTCCCAGGGGTTGATTTCATAGCGTAAAAGCTTGCTAGGTACGCTCGGAAGTTTAATTCCCACGACTTTTACACACTGTCTAATCAAGTTTCTCAATGTATCTTAATATAGTAAAGAGCTGGCGAATCAAAAATAATATTCCAGGGAGCGATCAGCGTGCTGGAGCCTTTGCTTTCGGCCAAGGAGAACTTTGTCCGACAAGGTGCTGTTATTGCCTTGTCGTTTGTTTTGATTCAACAGACCGAGGCAGCATGTACAAAAGTGGCGGAATTCCGGAAGACCATCATGAAAATGATAGTGGAGAAGGGCGAGGACTCTATCACCAAGGTGAGTATTGAATAGTTTCTATTTTTGGTTCTTTAATTATTATTTTTAAAATTATTTATCTTTTCAGTTTGGCGCCATCATGGCTCACGGTATTCTTGACGCTGGAGGCCGCAACGTCACCATCTCGCTTCATAACAGAAACGGTCACTCTGACATGCCTTCTGTTGTAGGATCTTTTGTGTTCCTACAACACTGGTACTGGCATTCATTCTCGCACTTTGCTTCATTGGCGTTCCGTCCAACTTGTTTGATCGGATTGAACAAGAATCTACAAGTAACTGCTTGTCTATACCTTGTTTTGATGGTCGGATGATGAAGATGATTTGTTTATTGTTTTTAGATGCCAAAGACCGAGTTCCGTTGCAATGCCAAACCATCACTGTTTGCTTACCCGCCACCGCTCGAGGAGAAGAAGAAGGAGGAAAGTGAAAAGGTTGAGACTGCCGTTCTGTCTATTACCAACAAGAAGAAACAACACAAGCGTACAGCAGACAAGGAGAAGGAAAGTACAACAGCGTCAGCCTCAGCGACCGTCAAGGAACCCACCAAGGCCGAAGAACCTGAACGAATGGAAATTGATGACGAAACCACGAAGAAGGATAAGGTCGAGGAAAAGTAAGTTCACGTCAAACAAGTAAAACAAATGCTTTAGTACTTTAAAACGGTGTAAAGGGAACTTTATGAAACTATATAGTCCAACATAAACAAGGTTTACTCTACGAGGTGTGGGGTTACTGCAATAAAATGACGATTCCTTGGGGGAACGGCGCATATGGTCGACATTTCCAAACCGAAAATGTGTCCATGTTTGAAAAGTTTGATGAATTGGGATATAAAAAGGCATAATGACAACACGGTAGTATAAACCAGAATTAAATACCACAGGAAAAGCGATAAAAAGTAATGGCTAATCTTTGAAAGTCTTTTGGGAACGTTTCGAAAAATAATTCTGGCGAAATTAAGGCCAAGTATTTATAAGTTCTCTCGTACTTGCACGCACTTTGGCATAAGGATGTGCTTTAAAGTTTGTCGGGGACGTCTTATTATTGTTGTTTTGTTGCAGGAAGGAGACCGAGCTCAACTTCTTCCATCTCACCAACCCAAGCCGAGTGATCCGGCCCCAGCTCAAGACTTTATCGGCCGAAAACCCACGTTATCACCCCTTGAAAGCGCTGTCAAATGGAGGTATCATCTTGTTACGTGACACGAAACCCACCGAGAAGGAGGAGATTGTGGAGTTGTCAGCAGCTGGAGGATCGACTTCTGATGGATCCTCATCTAGCAGCTCGGAAACACCAGCCCCAGCCACTTTCGAGTTCAATCTCAAATCGTACTAACTTATTCTAAATATTGTACTGTATAAACATCTAAGCGTTATAAATGGAGTTTGCCTTAAACGCGGAGTAAATAAAATGTCATTCTTATTTTTGGTTGTGGACCACATAGTTTTTGTTATTATTGTGGGTTGGGGTGATTAATGTATGGGTGGGTAACAAATAGTATTGCTTTTTACGTACTTGGCTGGAGCAATACTTTTAATTTGTCTTGGTAGCATTTGAAAATAGTTCTGACGATGACGTTAAGCAAGATTTGCAAAAACAGACCGATTATTGCATAGCAAACAAGCAAGATGTGTGTGTATCACTGAAACTGACTCATCTCTCTAGATTGACGCATGAAATGCCGAAACCTCAACTTTGTCTCTGATCAAAAAATAGAAGTTGTTTATCTACATAATACATTAAACATGGCTTTTATTTATAATTGAGCGTCTCTTTCTGCCGTTTACCGTTCTCCTGACCCTTGACCTCGACCACGGTCTTCAGGTTGCACGTTTCTTTCTCGTCTCCTTCGTCGATGCTTCGTTTGTCTTCGGTGCTTCCGTTCCACGCCGATCGTCGGTAGCCAGTAGCCCCTAAGGCAACGGCCGTTCTCTTGGATACCTTTATCTGGTCTTGGTAGTGTCCGATCCTTCTTCTGGCATTGATTGGTAATGTTTCGATGTAATTACTCGGCATTTTCGATGCCAAACGATTCGATGTTCCAGTAGGACTGTGCTGTGAAGGGGACGGTAGGTTAGGATTTATAGATTCGGAAGAGTTTGTCGTAGAATCGGCTGACGATGAAGCACCTGATCCGTGATGTCCCATGGGGTTGATCAAGGATATGGTGTTGATCATCGGATGGCCGAGAGATGACGCAGAGGAGTGACGATGATGTTCAGATGAAGCGCTTCGTGAGTGGTTTGTGGCGTTACTGTAATTAAGAAATGTTATTTTATGGATTCTAAGTTACTGTAATTTTAGAGGTAGGGAAAATTATCAACTATTACTATAAGATTGTAAATTGATATTTGAATTGTTACCTCATTTTGCTAGCCCTTCCGCTTTTCTGCTCCAGAAGCTGCTGATTCCTCCGTTCGTTGATTCTGTTGTCTTCTCGTTTCGCTTCCAGCTTCTGCTTCAACAACAACGATTCCGGATTGGTGTAGCCGTTGTGTTGTCGGAAGCTGTTGTAAGAATTCTCATTGTCGGAACAGAATCCGTTGTAGCCGCTTCCGAACTGAACGCCCTTGATTTGCTTGAGATCGTGTTCGAGGTTCCTGACCCTGTGGTCGAGTGATTGTCGCTCGTCCGCCCATTGGCCGTGAATCCTTTGTTTTTCGTCGAGCAGCTCCTGAATCCTCTTATCCTTCTCGGTCTGCTCCTTCTCCAGCCTCCTGATCCTCTCCATGAGGTCGGTGGAGTCGTTCTTCCCTCCATTCTTCTGCAGCACGTCGTTGTATCGCTTCTGGAGCTCCATCACGTTCTGTTCAAGTTGAGAAATCTTGTCGTCCTTCTGTTTGAGGATGGTCACGATTTCGTTGTCGCCGCTTCGCCGTTGTTGACCGTTCTCTTTGGCCACCTGCATCTTGAGTTGAGTGACCTCCATCTCCAGCTGAATCTGCTGCTTGTTGTGGTCATCTTGAAGCCGTTGGTTCTCGTCCAACGCATCTTGTAGGAGTTTTTGTTGATGGGTGCATTTGTCGACCAGAGCTACAGCGTCAACTGAAGATCGTTCTTTGTCTTTTAAACGTTCTTGGGCGTTCTTCAGGGCTTTCTCTAACATCTCGATGTGATTCCGTTGTTCAATTAGTGTAGCATTCTGAGCGTCCATCTCGACTTGTTGTCGGTTTTTTATGGCGAGTAATTCTTTGTCTGAAAAGGTAATGTTAAATATAAGATTCGCCTGGTTTTTAACTTGTTATTTAGTTTTTACTAGTAGTAACAGTTTTGTGAACGTAAGATGTTGTTCTTCTATTCATGCTTTAAACACGTATCTTTTGACATCACTTACACTGTGAAATAAGGTCGTTCATAGAATTCTGAGGATCAGTCTGATGATGCTGTGCTACGATCAGATTCAGTTTCTCTACCTGTCGTTGTAGAAGTTCGTTCTCATTGGCCACCCTCTGGATAGTCTGCTCCATCTTTCCTCTGACAGTCTGCTCCAGCTTCTCCTGTTTGTCTCTCCTCAGTACCATCTGATTGAACTCATTCTCGATCTTTTCGTACGCCATTTCCAGCTTCTTGAACCCTGAGTTCTTCTTCTTCAAACTGTCAATCTGTTGTCGGAGGAAGGAGTTCTCTGCCCTCAGGGCATCTATTTCGTGCTTGTAGTCGCCGGCTTCACGCGTATCCGAAGAAGCGTACTGGCTCCCGACTGAATCACTAAACATAAAACTGAATAAGGTTCTGAGGCCACTTACTCTGTCTGATGGTCGGTAACGAATAGGCAGGGCTGGGAATGGCTGATAGCTGGGGCTGGGGTGTGGCTCGATTTTAAAATTCTGCAATTTTATTTTTAATTTTAAAATTTTGAATTAAAAAATAAAAAATTTTAAATTTTTGCTGGGATATTTAAACAAAATTTTAAAACTGAGCCTTACCTGTGCCGCGTCGGCCCCTCACTACTGCCAGCTCTCGAGTTGTGGTAGTTGGAAGGACCCGCACTTCTGCCATTATTCTGAATCTGATGTTTCAAGACGTGATTCTGGTAGTTCTCGATCATGCTCTGGAGCTGATGCTCGGTGGAAAATTCCTCGATATCTGTGGAGAGATGGTTATCAGCTGAAGAGATCCGACTTACCTTGAGCCGAGTCCTGGTCCAGTCCCTTGGGGATGGAGGCGGCTTCTTGCAGCAAATGCTGGAGCAGCTGGCCCTCGCCCAGCCTCGAAGCCTTGTCCATATTAACGCGTCAGAGCTTCAGATTCCATGTCAAAACCGAATTCTTTTCTTTTTCTCGCTTCTTTTTTCCTTCCGATCAGACCCTGACCCGGCGCTGTCTCTGCCGTCTCCCCGATCCGCCTCTACTCTCGCTCTCTCTTAACTTAAACGGCGTCGGTTCCTGAGGAAAGTGGGCCACGAGCTACATTCCTTTCCACACCACTCACTGATCTCGTCTTCGAATTACTCGGATTATTCGAATGCCAACCATAACAAAGCATATGTAATAGTAAAAAGCAGTTGTTCAATATTATCTTGTAGCTCTGTGTGATAGCTATCATCCCTAAAATTTTTTTTTTCATTTTAATTTCAAAAAGTTATGTTTCAATTGTTGTAGGCAGTTAACTGGAACTGGTGACAGGAAATGAATGTTTGGCGACTTTTTCCTTCTAAGGCTGGACTAATTGCTCGAATCAAAAAGGAGTACAAGGTAAAGACAGTAACCAAGTCAGATAAGTTGATAGTACAAAGTGTAATCAATTAGCTAGCTAGTTAGATAAAGTATAAGTAACTGGGCTAAAATTTTACATTCTCTGATAAATTAAAATGACATGACTTTAAAAGAAAACTTAAAATTCAATAAAAATGGTGCTAATATTACACATGAGACACTTTTATGTATAACAACATGAATATAAGGTATATTTTCAGTTATACACTTATTTTGCTCAAAAACCGGCTAGAAGATTCACTAAGTCCGACTGGATATGGTAAGGTACTACGGTAATATATAGTTTTAATCGATAGTTATATTGTCTACAACTCCCTTCAATAACATTACTTTTTAGCCTTCTATCAACGAAAAACACTCGGGAAAGACTGGTATACTGGGACTATCAAACTGTGAGAGATGGGTTTATCGAGAGAAGGGTCAAGGATGTTAGACTAGAACATGAACAAGCCTCGGAAATGGTAGGTTTGCTGTATACTGTAATTTAAAAAGTAATGCATCTGATACTATAATATTGTTTCAGGCGAAGTACGAGAAAGGACAATCAGGATACGGGTTCGGAGTGTTTGACCAGAACAGTAAGTGGTTACTGTAACTTTAATCTTATTTGAAAGTACTGTAATTTTATTAATTTGAATGTAATCTATCTGATATGATATTTATGTAATCGTCGTATCTTCAAATTTATTTTCCAGATTTGATTAAAAGCTCTTTGAGAAGGCAAACCGAACGACGCATAAATCTACCTCCAAAGCTGGTACTGGATCTACAGTACCTTCCTCAACTACCGTTTAATAATTTCGACAGACAAGTGGTCACAGCTACTGAGATGATCAAGGTAAGGTTATTAAATGTATTTACAAAATTGTGTTATCCATTTCTGATGATATCGTCTAGGAATACCGTGATGTATACAAAAGCATCAGCAATATTATTGTACATTAATTGAAATAATATTATTTTACATTACCTGAGTTAAGAAAGAAAATTCAGAACAACTTCTTCAACAATCGCCTCTTCTTCCCCATCAAGATGATCAACTACGACGATTCAAATACTTTGGTCAAGAGATTTGTGTCAAAACTCATGTCACGATTCAGAGACCAAATTCATCCATTACGGGTTCTACCTAACAATCCCTACTGTAACGACCAGGATACTGTATACGTAACAAAACATTCCAATAATACGCTGAGTGGAACGTTAACCATGAAGAACATTATACTGCCACTTTCTAACGACAGCCCAAACAGTCAGAAATATGCCATATCCAATGGTATTCCCAGTGCTCACCTTCCTATCAAGGAAAGCTTCCCGTAAGTTATACGTATTCTATCAAGTTGGACTAAGTACTATCATGTATAATATAACAGCCCACACATTTACTATTGTGGAAATTGTAAAACATCCATGAAGATAACAAAACTAACTCCTTTGTAGCATTTATGATGGTTCTACAACCAAGCTTAACCTCGGCATTGTCCACAACATCCTCACCGACGTCTACTTCACTGGTGGAGACTGGCCATTGTCCGTGAAGGCGAACTATCGTCCAAACCACCTTATACCTTCGGAAGAAAACGTACGTCCAGAGTTCTCAGAGGAAATTAAGAAGAAACGGTTGAAAAGAATAGAAGATCGTCAATGGATTGGTGTTATGATACACGAAACCTTGAGGAAACGGGAGAAACTCTCGAAGAGTTAATTGTTTTGTTGTTGAAGACATCTTTTAGATGTAAATGTTTGAAAAAATAAATTATTTTGTCAAATTTTTGTGGAAAAGCGTATTTTCGTTTCAAGTATTGACTTTTCAAGTGAAAGTAGACGAAGTGTCACAATCTTGTGACTTCGGGCCAAGCTTGGACAAGATTTTTTTTAAGGTTTCCTTATTAATTTTAAAGCTGTTATAATTTTATTTATTTAAAAAACTATACTTATATAAATAAAAACTCATATGTATTGCCCTTTGTATTATCCTTATCATGATGTATTATCACATTTCAAAGAGTTTTATCACATTTTCGTTGCACCCTGAAGTTTCCACAAAACCACAAATGATATATCAATTTACAACGTTCCTTTCCGATGGTAAACTTGGTGTTTCCCAGCTGCCCGACCGTCTCTACGTGACATTGTAAAGCGCGCTTTCGATTCGATTGTCCCAGGCCCAATTGATGTTTTGATTTGGCGCGTTATAAATGAGATAGGTACATGTTTGCCCCTTTTTCAGACAGACCCAACTTTTATCTTCACTTAGCGTCAATTTCGTGGGATCATCACGTTTTCCGAGTGGGTTTTTCTTCATTTTTGATAACAAATTTAATTAAAAGATCACATTTTCTTAATAACATTAGGTTAGATTAGGGGTTTTTATATCTTTATTCTTGGGATTTTCATTTTTTATTTTAAGTATAACCTGCGCAAAATTAAAATTCTGTTTTCTGACGTTAAAGTCACTAAAAGTTGTTTTAAAGTTTGATTTCTTACCTAAATTTTAGTTTTAACTCAATTTTTTAGGTTTAAAAATAGTTCAGTATCAAAATAACATTTCTTTTTAAAAATATTTAATACGATAAAAAACATGAAACTAATTGTGTTGTTTAAGTTTGGATCTCAGCTCTTTGGTGACCGAGCCAATCATGCCCAATATCAAGGTATTCAGTGGCAGCTCTCATAAGGACTTGACGTCCAGAATCTGTGAAAGGCTTCAACTCGACGTCTCAAAGGCTTCATTGAAGAAGTTCTCGAACAAAGAAACAAATGTCGAGATTGGCGAATCAGTCCGGGGGGGAAGATGTGTTCATCATTCAAAGTGGATCTGGGGAGGTGAACGACCATCTGATGGAGCTTCTGATTATGATCAACGCCTGTAAAATAGCCTCAGCTCATCGTGTAGCTGCTGTGATTCCTTGTTTCCCTTATGCGCGACAAGATAAGAAGGACAAGAGTAGGGCTCCGATCTCGGCCAAACTGGTGGCCAACATGTTGAGTGTGGCTGGGGCTGATCACATCATCACTATGGATCTACATGCTTCTCAAATTCAGGTAGTTTTTTAGTATTTTGAGGTTTTTTGATTTAGGTTACAATTGAGCATAACTTATCTTGACTTGTATTAGTACGTCTATTACTATTATAAGCCCGTTACCTTAATGCTAAGGAAACAGATGATCAATAACTGGCAATGATTTTAATTTTAACGATTGTAGGGTTTCTTTGACATCCCGGTCGATAACCTGTACGCAGAGCCAGCTATCCTCAAGTACATCAAGGAGCATATCCCAGACTACGGTCAGGCTGTTATCGTATCCCCAGATGCAGGTGGAGCCAAGAGAGTAACTTCGATCGCCGATAGACTAAACGTTGACTTTGCTTTGATCCACAAAGAAAGGAAGCGAGCCAACGAGGTGGAGAACATGACTTTAGTGGGTAATGTTGAAGGTCGAGTAGCTATCTTGGTTGATGACATGGCTGACACTTGTGGTACGATCTGTTTGGCTGGAGATAAGTTAATCGAGGCTGGGGCTCAAAAAGTTTATGCTGTAAGTTTTGGAACCTTTATAAAATAAAAAACTGATAAGTTAGTAAATTTAGGTAACAAATAGAGTAATTAATGTGTCAAACCAAGCCTTTTTATAAGAGTGATTGATGTATATGTAGTAGTATAAAAAGTCTATTGAATTATTTACTTTGAAGTAGATTTGAGTTTCCTTGTTTTAGGTATGTGTTCATGGAGTATTCTCTGGCCCAGCTCTCGACCGGCTGAATCGTTCGGCCTTTGAAGCTGTCGTTGTGACGAATACGATTCCACAAGAGGAGAATATCAGGAAATGTCCTAAAATACAATGTATCGACATTTCCATGATTCTGGCCGAAGCCATCAGACGAACTCACAACGGTGAATCTGTGTCCTACCTATTCTCTCACGTTCCCATGTAAATTTTTGTTGTTTTTGTAGTTAATTAAATAGTCTTGTTATATCTTAGGTGATACGATAATAAAGTATGGCATGATTGGTCAGAAAGTCCATAGAATTTTGAAAGTTAAACTTGTTTTATTACCTATTCTATTATCTTGTTCAAATAATTTTGTGCCCTTTTACAAAACAAATTTTTGCGGTGAGAGGGCACAGAATTATCTTAGCAATTTAATATAAATATCATTTAATAAAATAATAAATAAGGTTTATCAATCAACGATATCAAACTTTGACCGTAGTAATCGTAGACGAGTGTGTACATGCATAACCGTTCTTCTTCGTATGTTGTGATTGATTCTCGGAGGGTTCTGATACAGAATTCAATGGCAATTTGCCTTTCAGCTTTCTAAAATAAGATCTTTTTAAGCTTTGTTATACTAATTTGACAACGATTTACTGTGAAGATACGACAGTGACAGCAGTGTTACAAGTATGATGCTTATATGCACAATGTGTATATGAATGGCATGTATGTAATTACATACATGCCATTCAGAATCATGGAAACTTGTTAGTTGAAACAAAATAGTCCGTAAGGAAAAGGTTTAGTTACAACATCACTGATATTAATGTTAGTTTATCATATAAATATTGACAGTATAAGAAGCGACATATCACGTTACAATCAAATTACAGCAAGCATTAGTTAGTAACATTAGTACGACATTAATATATCAAAACCACAAAGTATTAGAGTTGAGTACTCGACGAGCATCCGACTGTGCCTACCTCTACTATCGTATTCTTACTATACAGTAAAAATACAATAGTACGGTAAAGTTATCAAAAATTAAAAATATTATATTAACAGTACTGTATGTACTATACAACGGTTATAACAGTAATTGTGAGTACAATATAAATACAACTGTTAGTACTATCATTACAACTACAGTAACCACAAAACACAACGCCTTCAGAATCCGGTATTCGGCGGACAACTCGAGGGCCTCTGGAGCGAGTACGTCGAGTTGGCACGGCTACAAATCCGATTCATTACGGTCAGCATCTGAGGCGACGGCGATCGTCCGACTGACCTTTCCTCGAAGAACGGTGACAGTGCCACTTTGACCATGTCACGGTTGAAGAAGAACCAGATCCAGGGGTTCACGGAGCTGTTCAGGTTCCCGAAGAACATTATGTACGTCGCGAAGACCGGGCCTGAAGTAAGCAAAGTTATATTGTGGTCCACATTGTGTTATAGTAAGTAAAAGTGTTTGTAATAGGTCAAAAAAATGTAGATTATCAATTTTTTCTTGAGTTTTGAATCATATGTGCATGTTTTATCAACCTACTCAAGAAGGTGGGCGTAAGAGCATCAATGACACTGATAACGTTAAATGGAGCCCACAAGATGAAGTTGGCTGCCACAATTGTCAATGTCAATTTGACTGTCTGAACTCTCTTCCTATCCAGCTCTTCCCTCTGAATCCTGAGGCCAGAATGGTGCACTAGAGTGGTACTATGTCTGGAGGCACGTCGAGACTGGTCCTCATGGTCCAGAAGTTTGGTCGAGAGCTGTAGATGCTCGTCTTCATTGTACAATTTGTGTTTTTTGTACTTCATCCTCAGACTGAAATGGCATAATTTTATTTTGGGGAAAGAACTTATTGACCAAAAAACCTCTTATACAAAGAAAGGTTTCTCTATGTTAATATAAGTTGTCGTTTTTTACGTTTCGACTTTATTCACCTTAATTAGTCACAAGTTGTGAAATTCTAATGTCATTTCCACCTCTTGCACATACCATATGATTATATATAAACCTCGATGTCTAATGTACAACAAAACGTTAACCAAGTTTACGACAACATTACCCTAACATAACCCAATTTACATCACATACTGTAACTCAATAGCCCACCTTGATTTATGGTCGTATCCCACGTTACTCGGTCGCTTCTCAAAGGCCATAGACTTCCAGACCGCGCGACACACACAGGTGTAAAGACAGCCGGCTATCGTGGTGGGAATCAGCCATACGACGACGTTGAAGCAGATGACATACACTGGGTACTGCCATGTCTCGGTATACAACCCTACACAGTCATTATGCTCGTTCTTACCGAATATCAGGAATTGGGGGGTCGAGAAGAGTAGGGCCGAGAACCAGGCTATGGCAGCGTAGAGGGCAGGGCGATTGTAACGCCCTGATCGTATGTTGGCCAGTGGTCGACATATGGCCTGAAATTCAAAACTTTTTTGACCAAGCTAGTAGTTGATAGCAGGTTTAATATAGAGTAAAAAAACCTACGTAATATCTGTCAGCGCTGATAGCTACCAACATAAATGAACTCGAATACATAGGCAGTACCTGAAAATACGAAACATATACATGAATACAAAAGTTGTTTCATCCAAAATTTAAAACCAAACAACATTATAATAACACCACTATACCCTAACCCACCTGTAGACACTTGACCAGTTTACACAGTAAATCAGGTCCGTAAAACGTAGGCACGGTGATGGTAATAATCATAGTCGGGAAGATGGTCAACAAAGCAAACAGCAAATCACTCGTACACATGTGTAACATCAACATCTGGACTGGAGTGATCCTCTTCTTCCTCATGACACGATTGTTACGCAGAATCACGAAGATCATCAGAAGATTGCCGAACACCGTGAACAGACATGTAGCAGCTTGATGAGCGATCATGGCTCGGAGTTCTGGTTGTGATTCATTGAATAACAGAGGATTCTGTAGGAACAGAAGATCGTCCGACAGATTCATGCTTTCTAGACGACTTTGTAGCAGCTGAAATGGTCGGGAGTTATTATATGTTACAGGCAGTAAAACAAGGTAGAAACTAATGTTAATAATGACATTGACATAGAACAGAGCAATAGTACTTCCAATATTTTAACATAAAAATGTCATAAAAATGGAATTATGACGCCAAATGTTTATGCTTAAGTAGGATAACATGAGTAAACAAAATTAAATACTCAAGTTCAAAGTAAAAGTGATTATCTTACACTTGAGATTACTTTCGTATCTTGATATCATTGACTCAGTAACAAAAGAATTTAAAGTCTTATGATTCTGGCACGCTATGAAACTATATAAATTGTCATTGTTCAAGATATGACAAAAGATATTACACTAAACACTCTCTATATTGTTTATATGTTCAGAAATACAGACAATTTAGTACATAGCAAGTTTAACCATGTAAACACAAGTAAGTGTATGTAAGTCCTATATACGACCACATGTATTCCGTAGTAATAAAAAATTGCGTAACAGTCTAAGTTAATAGTTCACTATCATATACTACGTTACATTTCTTACTATATATTACTGTACAAAATATTACACACAACATATATTTAATGTCTACCCAAAGTAAAGTAATTTAAAAAACAATAAAAGTTACTGCCAAGTCCAGAAGTTGTTAGAAAACTTTAATTCCTTAGGCAGTAAAGCATTAAATGGCAGTAAACGAGTTACTGCCCCAGTTACATTACCTTATTCAATAAAGCCGGACATAATAACATTAAAGTCGGTTTCCCGGTAATCGAATACCTACTATCACAAAGTACAATTGTATATTGTGGTAGATATAGGTAGTAGAACTAATTATCTACTTTAACTTGTAAAATACAGATATATATGCTATATATAAACATATCTTTACCGATTTACAAGATATAAACGTATACCTACAGTTATATAAAGTGTATATGACAATGACAAATAAGAAAGAAACAAACATATACGTATTTACAATGTATACACATAGTATTATTAAAGTATTGAGCTTGTAAATGCACTTTTATGTACACAGCTTGCTTATGCACGTACCATACATATATTAGTGACACAAAACATGTACATAAGAATAAATATACAAGTATCAATGGTCATGTACATAACTTAACACATAATGCAAGTTTAACGAAACAAGATTAGCATATATTCATACGTTTGTAAAGAAAAAACACTTAGAGTTGTATAATATATATTGTAGTAAACTCTACTTGAAGATTGTAGTACATCTGGTTAAAGAAGTATTGTAAAGCCCGAGATAATGAATACTATAGTACACAGATTCTACAACTTGTACTTTACATGCATAAGCTATAGGAGAGATTGTGTTCGCAGAAATCTTTGGTACCTTCTATAGACAAAGAAGTAACTTTCTAAAACTACTGATACGTGTGATGTGTATGTCAACCCCTACGCTTGATAGTACTAGAAAACGTTTGATCTACTCCTTATAGTCAACATCTTAACATCCTTTATCATATTTTAACGTAACGTTCTTTAGCAAGAAGCATACTATTATAAAGTCTATTAAAACGAAGTAACAATTTACAATATTACGTAGTAAATTATTTAAAACAATTGTAATATTGACAGATATTTTAAAAAACCAAATCTCAATATTCGAAGATAACAGCGTTGTGTAAACAAACAATGACATGGCACAAACATCTCTCACAACTTTCTATTACAACACTCAGTAACGTAACCCCAACCCTAGATACCTATTGCAAGCTCCCTCACTATTGTATTAAAGAACTGAAAATTATGCGAACAACCTAATACAAAGGCATCAATAGGTCCTAACCTACAATAATATGCTTTGATCAGTAGAATGTGCTTTGCACATGTTACAAGATAGATGAACACATTTAACATGGCTATGCAATTACAGTCCAGTAATTAAATTGGGCTACCTACTTTAACATAATTATTGTGCAAGGTTTTTGACCAGCTTTAATAATCGAAATACAACCAGGAACTTGATTCTTGGTTCGATACAACAAGGTTGGTAGACAACACTACTCGAAATGACACTTTTAACAAGACAGATCTTTATCGCAACATATAGTAACAAAGAACGTATATGAAGTGATAGTAAAAAGTAAATCAACACGATATACAATCAACAAGACACATAAACAAAGATATACACCATAGTAAAAGATATAAGACAAAGTACACCCATATATAAAACATAAGTTCGGCCGAACATAAGTTTTGTTGTGCCAAAACTCATCGTATGTCCGAGTAAAGTGCGTAACATACCAGAATGCAGCTACTCGAATTAAGAAGATATCACACATCATATTGTGGTATGTTCGAAAACAACAATTTTTAAAATAATTACTGTTTTTCGATGGTAACATTCCCAACTTCCGTGAGACTTCCAGACCCTGGATCGTATCCTATTTGACACGTGTGGTAACATATACATACACACGTTTTCTACAGGTGTATAACGTAAATATATGAGAGTAAAGACCATATCTTTCCTTAAGTATCCAACTTTCAAAAAATGTCAATTTGACTCTACTACACGATTTACTTCAGAGTGCAACAACATACCATAAAAAAATAAGTTTATGGTCTGTACTATAACACTTGACATGGTAGTACACAATTTACAACGCTATTAGCCTAATCCCTTTACAATACTGACCTTATCTCTAAGTTAAAAAAAAATTAATTTATTAATTTGCTATCCAAAACAGCATATACGATAGACTCCTTTGTCTATTGTCTATGTATATAAGAACAGTCGACCTTTGAAATCAAATTTACAATATACAACTACATTTCAATATAAGTTATTTTCAAATGTAAAAGCATTTTAAATTACAAGTTTTAAAATAAAAAAAGTTTTAAATTTAAAAGTTAATTTTTCCGCCAGTTTTGGCATTTAAATCACATACAACTATAGTTATAGTATAGTAAACAGAATAACGTCAAAACAACCCTTGCAGCAGAATGCCAGACTGGCGGGAATTCAAATCTCATTTCTTTGTTAAATTTAAAAAGTTCATTTTAATTTGAAAACTATTGATACTATTAATATTCAAATCGATAACTTTTGAGCGTCTTCGCAAGACCTTTATCAAATAATAATACTGCAACATAACGAAGGCTATGATACATTAAGTTTTGTCAAAATGACATTTTAAGGCCACAGAGATCACTTCGTATGTCATCAATTACTTATGAAAGAAACAAGCAAGAAATTTAAATTTGTTTTCAGATACTCGAATTCGGAAAAAAAGCAAAAGCGACAAAACTAAGTGGAGCTTCAATTATGAAAGGCAACTTTTAAAAATAAAATTTTAAGTTTTTGTAGAGCTACATAACCTTTCCTATAGTAAGTCAAAGATAACTGCAAAGATGATGTACATGACAATATTAATACTACAATGTCCAAAAACTAGCCAAAGTAATTTATATTTATACCTAAAGAATAAGATTGTTTCGATAGCCAAAGTACAATGTATCGCTAATCCTCTACTCTGTAACAATGAAATGAGGAAATGTTGGTATGTTAGGACACGGAAACAAAGTAAATGTCCGTCAGTAACTTCCCCTAAATAGTAATACTCGAGATACGAAAACATGTCAAACACCACCCAAATGTCATTAGAGTGGTCTACAATCTTTCAGAGTAAGTTCGAGTAAAAAGAGCTAAAGAGGGACTAATTTGGCTATGTACTGAAAGGCTGAACTGTTATTGTATCGTTATATAGACCTTCATTTAAATTTAGTTCTCCACCATAAAAACATTACAAAAATGTAACATATATCGTATCTAACTACGGATATAGCTATGTATCTTAATACCTAATTATACTATAAAATATACTTTCAACAGCTTTATGACCATACATATTATATCGTATGTCATCAATGTAACATGTGTATAAATAACCCATCGTATGTGGAAGGGCAACTTACACTGCCAACATACGATTCTTTACCGTCAGAACAATTATGGTAATTTAGAAGATTGCAAAAGTAAACGTTTAATAGTAACCGCAGTAAAAGAGGAAGTAATGCCAATAACCATACTACAAAGACAGGCACTTGTAGACAACATCAAGTATGTTTGCTACAACATTCAATTTACATTACTTCAAAGTAACACTCAAGGTAACGTTTTGTAGCTTTTTACATTGTAATGTATTGTACTACAGAGTATTGCCTTACTATTTGCAAGCTACAGTAAAATTTCTGTATCAAGTATATAGTACCGTGCATTGACCCTTTACCAAAGCTTCTTATGTATTTGAATTCTGTATGAAACATATGCTACAGTAAAGACTTACTCCACAATCATTAATATACTGTAACATAAAATACTCTTACCCAGTCAAAATACATGTAATACCGTAGACTCTCTAATATACCAATCGAAGGCATAGTAATGTGTAATAACACCTAATTAACAGAGAAAAACATATATATCCAAGGTTATTTACACAGTAGGCTTATATGGGATTAAGCGTGGAATTAATTACCATAAAGAAAATACTATTACGGTGCATATACAATGACATTTGGATTGCTATACCAGATCAGATACGCATAATTAGACAAGATACGACAGATGCAACGTGTTTTAATACAGTTTAGTCAGCTACTACTTATGTTCTTTGAAAACAACACATCATGCAAAGAACGCTATAGTTAATGTATGAAATATACCAAGGTATACATAAACGACACCAAAGGTAGCAAGTACCCAGCCACACACTAGCAGCATGAGCCTAGATACCAATAATCGAGCTTATCGAGTTTGGCGATAAACAAGTCTGGTGGAGAGTGTTACTATGCTGTAATATAATATGCAAAGTGAATGAACAACAGTCATAATATCCACTTACTGGAACGTTATACCCAGTTGTGGGTAAACGACCGTAAAGGCATCACAAGTCGGTTACCTATCTGTGGAAACAAAGTTTTCACATTTTCAACTT